CCCTCACCTGGCTGTATGAGTACGAGTAGAGTGCCTTAATCAGTGCAATGTATTTTCTCGGCATTCCGTTTATAGCCAAGCATTGCCAGAGAACCTCTCGGTCGATAGAATCGAATTCCGCCTTTAGGTCAAGGAATATAGTGATTGTTGGTAAGAATGTCTATGTTCTAGAGTCTGTCGGAGGGTGAAGATATGATCAATACACCCTCTCCCTGGCCTAAAGCCTGCCTGACTCTCTCGTGTTTGTGCCTCCCGAGCACCACTTAGTCTACGCATGATTACTGAGCCTAGGACTTTAGATACCACTATATTAGTCAAGCTAATCCCTCTGTGATTATCACAGGAAGACTTGTCTCCCTTCTTGTATATGGGGGTGATCAGTGACTTACACCAACCCAATGGGACTTCCTCTGATTTCCAGACGCTGCCTAGAACCTCAGTTAATGCAGACAGTAAACTGTCTCCACCGTACTTAAATACCTCTGGAGTCACTCCATCAGGTCCCGCTGCTTTGCCTTGTTTCAGATTAGTGACAGCTTTAGTAACCTCAGTTAGGGAAGGAGGACCTGTGTCTATATCTCATTCGGGTGTGTGCTGGATGGCGGGGAGGTTCAGTGTGGCTGTAGGCAAGTTAAATTGTCCCTCAAAGTGTTCTTTCCAGCGTTCGAGGCGTCTGTCTTGAGAGCTAATTAAGGAGCCATTTTTCTCAGAAATAGTCTCACTTATGATTTACCTTTTCCGATCCGTTTCCCTGATGAGTCTAAAGAGTTGCCTAGTGTTGCCTATCGCCGATGCTTTTTCCATCTCTTTCGCCTTTGTCACCCACCACTGTTCACGGTCCTTGCGGAGACTTTTCGTAAGTTTCTTTTTGTGCAGCTTTCGCTCCTCATTGAATTCGGAGCTCGCCGGAATAAGTCTTCTAGCATCTGTCAGTTCGGATGAGGCGGTAGAAATCCAATGGTTTTTACTCTCCTTTGGGTTTACTTTATTCACAGCTTTTACAGCTGTATCTATGGCTGCCTGAATATTCTTCCAAGCTTCTTCAGGGTGAGCACAGCTGTCGAACTCAGATATGCGTTTAGCTAGTTCTTCCTCAAATAGGGATTTAGTTTCCTGATCGAGCTGGGGACGTGATGGTTTTACCACCAGCTGTTTCCTACGTCCGTTCAGTCGTAAGCACACCGAGCGCGGACCAGTGCGTGATCGGTATCTACACACGTGTTCCAGAAGGAGCGACAATCTCCTACTGACCCACGCCAACGATAGCTTATTGCTATGTGGTCTATTTGTGTCCAGAGTTGGTTTGATGATGGGGGTCGCCAGGTCAAACAGTGTCTCTCCTTGTGTTTGAAGTTAGTGCTTACTAGAAACAAACGATTATCTGAACAGAACTGTAGGAGACGGTCACCGTTGTCGGTTCGCTGACACGGAACTCCATAGGTGCCACCGACATCCTTCTCAGAGTGACACAATTTCTCTACTTGAGCGTTAAAGTCACCAGCTAGAACGACTATATCTGAGCGTTTAGCCTTTCGCAGCAAACTAGACAGCTTTTCGTAGACCTCATCCTTCGTTTCATCCGAACTGCAGTCAGTGGGGACGTAGGCGGAGGTTACGAAAAGGCATCGGCGAGTAGTGCAGTCCTTTCTCCTTCTTACTGATCCGTTCAGACGGACAGCACACATTCGGCTATCTACCGGGATCCAGTCAAGCAATGTCTTTTCAGCCCCAGTGCTCAGAGCTATCACTACACCAGCTAATACTCGTCAACTAGCTGTGGTATCTCCTGACAACCTCACGAAGAATTTTGCAGATTCATCCTGTTGGCCAGGTGGGGTTAGGTGAATAACCACACTTGGGTCTTGTATGCGTGTTTCTGAAACACAACATACATCAATGGCTCGGGATGCCAGAGTCTTGGCTAGTGATGCTTGTTGTCCTATTTGGCACAGTGTCCTAACACTAAATGCTCCGATATGCAATTGGTGGCGTGGCTTTAGGAGGCTGTCGGTGGTGGTTTTTTGGCTTTCGTCGTTTTTAGTGGACACAGAGTGGATAGGAAGTGAAGAGCTATCAAGCAGAGGAGTTGCATCAGTGGAAGGAAGGCAAGATGATAGAGATGAAGATGAAGACAAAGATGAGTGAGGATTAGAGAGGTTTCGTGTGCATTTCGGATTGTCAGGGCGATTGTTACTTCCCGGCTGCCCACACCGTGGGAGTTGGTTGCGTGACCGCAGAGCCCAGGGGACAACTGCTTGAGGCCGGTCACACGCGGCCTGTTTTTGTTTCTTCTTTATTGTTTGGTGTGTCTCAGTAGCATATTTATCACTCCTGCCCTGTAACACGGCAGCAGGAAGCGCGGTCGTTGTTAATCCGAGCCACGGACGATTCAGCATGAAATTTTGTTTGTATCATAATGGTGGGTTGGGTAGCTGCTTTTTGTTTTAACCGCTATCCAAATAACCTGGCTGGCATGGTAGGACCTCAAGAGACATAAGTCTCAGCCAGTATAGCTTGATTAGGTCATTGTGGTGTTCAAGCCCGACCACCACGTCAAGGTAGCAGCTTTCGGTCGGTGAGGAGCTAATGAGCTTTAATTGGCCTTGCTGAATGATTTTCTTTTTTATGCGTAACTCTGGTTTTTCCAACTAATTGGCTTAGGCTCCAGCAATACAAAGTAGACCAAAGCGTATTGCCTTTGGTAGGTTATTCGTGACTCTGTAGATTTCTTTGCGGGAGGCGTTTGTTGAGATGAAATAATAAGTGTGAACAAGGTGTTCGATGATCGCACTCCTCATAGAGCCACTACTGCCTTTTCGCAAGCATGTGGGATGGTGTTCTTGAATCCTTTTGGACAGGATACGCGTCGAAAGCCCAATGTACCTAGCTGCACAGAAACGGGTGAACTGATATATGCACATATGAGTGGTCAGATGCGAGATCTTGTCCTTAAGGCTTCTTCAGGCTAACAGATGACTGAAGAACACTACTCTCAACGATGTTGCAAAGAATGTTCTTCTCAAAGATGCTGAAATTCTTCTCATAAGGATATCACAAGATGAGTCTCCCTTGAGATCGAGGCTCATATAAAGTTCCTTTTTTCGAACAAGTAATGTTGAGTTCCTCTGGACTTTTGGTCTGATATTCTTGTCAATGAATCTTGGTGGGTTTACATTTTGGATGAAGGTTTCTTTTAGAAGATCCAGTTCTGCTTCTAGGGTGTTAGGACTGCAGATGCATCGGATTCGAGTGGCAAGGGATTTAATTAGATTTCGTTTTCGTTCAACAGGCACCCAACTGTAGAAACTTGTTAGTTGACCGTTCCAATTAGGTTTACTATGGACTGACCTTCTTAAAATTCCGTCATCATAGCAACAACCGCGTTGATTTCTACTGACTTGATGTTTGTGTGCCTGAAGTTCTAACTCCTTATAACTCTTGTATTTCTTCACAACTCTAACATAACTCCATATTTTCCCTCGTTCCTATGTACATCCTAATCAAAACTTGCTCATTAAATTGTTCATCTTGTTACGCAGCTACAATACACTTATTTAACTTCCCTTATGCACTGACTAACATTGACAACTATTTTTGACAACCCATCACCACTGTCTTCTCATATTGATCTTCATCCTCATCTCCGTATTCTTTTTAAATATTTTGGTGACATAAACAACAACCCTAACTAATTTGTATTCTTGTTCGACAAAGCTGATGTACACACACACGGACAAACACATACACGTACAAAAGTAATTATATATAATTGCGATGACAGCTAAGTGAATGAATTCGCCAAAAAGAGACTCTTTACTGAACTACGGTGTTTTATTTTTCACTAATATCTGGAAGAGGGATTATTCATGAATTATTAGTTTTTAACGCAGTTTTTCTTTTAAAAATTATTATTTATTAATAGGATTATTGATAGATTAAACTCAAAGATAACTAGAAGCGGTACTCGTTTCCGTTTAGTCATCTATCTGTCTTATGCAACAAGCTTCAAGTCACACTATAAATTTATCTCTCTGGTAGATCCTACTACTTAAACAATTTTTCGAATATGAGACAAACATATGACAGAATATACGTGTTTAGTGAATAATACTTTACAACGCTGAAATCAGATAGAAATGCATTCATTCGGTGGAAAATATACCCACAGGATTGTACTGATAGATATTATTAAAGTTAGAGATGGTTAATTAAAGTGTGATTTTATAGTACTTCTTTCGTGTGGTATTTTGTGTTGGTTAAGCCCCTAAGAATGTTCCTTTCTCTACCTGATCTTTTGTGCTTCTGTTACTGTTAATATGCATACATGCATATTTTTGAAATACAGCAGGATGCTGATTAATTTCTGAATTTATTTATTATTCACAAGGAATTATAGGTTAATTACATCAATGGAAATTCTCAGTCCTCTCTCTCTGATTCTGTCATTATTAATATGGTGGCTCTAATCAGATCTGGTTAAATCAACAAATCAGTTCATTAGATTGCAGAGTTCGCATGTAGGCTTCAGGTGGTGTCTTTAACCATTTTGAATAGTTTTCAAGATGTCAACTATTTGGAATCTGAAAATTGTTTCTATTCAATACTGGAGATTTACGATAGTAGGAGTATCGAGTATACCTGCATAATTGTGAAGTTTCCTGAGAGGTGTTATCAAGAGGATTCAAGCATTAGGTCTGAATACTCAGGCGATAATATCCATACAACCTACACACAGCCCACACGATGTCAGTTGACTTATCACAATATACTGAAGAGAATGGTAGTTAATACATAAAACTGAAACAAAAATAGAGAAGTATTATATTTCAGAATAAAATCTACGAATAAAAAATTTAATCGACTTCTATACAATTTGTCATGAGAATATTTACAAAATAGGTGTAGTTATAGGAGGATAGGTATATATACACATATGTCATGGATACATTTGTACAAAACTGTTACTATTTCTACTACTAGCAGTACCAGCAGTAGTAATATCAAATAGTAGTATTAGGTTGATTCAGTCTTTCAACCGATGCCAAATGCAGAAACAGGTAGCTAGCGACTGGTCGAAATTTATCACGTAATATCCAAATATCATCTAGACGACCACGTGAAGGCTTATCTGATGGATGATTTTGTTTTTTCGCTCGATGTCTGATAGCTAATTGTTTAAGCACTGCACGAAAATGCTGTGCAGTTATAGTAGCAGTTCTGTTTGAAACACTGTTTATAGCGCTTTGTTTTAAACCTTTCTTACAGTCTTCTGAATTATTATTATTATTTAAAATATTTGCAAATCGAACACTCAAGTATTCACTAGTAACACATGGAGAACTACTAAGTATCCGAATAATTTCGGCACAAAGACGTTGCATTGACGGATTTAGCGAAGAATTAACTGATTCCTGATCGGTTGAATTGCATGCATGACTTTCACGAGAAATTTTGCGTAAACGAATAAGACTGAACAATAGCTCTGAACTGAATCTAACATGACATCTAGCTGAATTTTCATAATAACACTTTTCGCTTGTATCTTCCGATTCACCTGACAATTGTAAAAGCTGTATCTAAAAGAAAACGAAATGAACAGTGATGTTAGGAAACTGTTTTGTGCTTCATCATCATCAAAAACAACATATAATTGTATGATAAGCATCATAAGGTTAATAGATCATACTACGATAAATGTAAAGAAATACACTACCACACCTCCCTCACCTACAGTAATGAAGATACTTTTTGTAGACTCCAGATCCAACAAAGGGGTCATAAAGTCTGCAATTTTGGATGAATTTTATACAAAGCAAATTTTTCTCACCGATATTAGACCGATATCAGGGTTATGAGAACATCTGGAATCTCTATTTGTGGAATGATGTTAATAGTAAGAGGTGGGTGATGGTCAGAAAAAGGCTTTGTATGCTTAAAGAATGTGTGTGGACAGTCATTACTTGCCAGTTGCACACAGGTTGGAAGTTAATTGCATCTTGGTTACTGGAGTTGTGTCTTTATCAAGATTTTAGCGTCAGCTATGGGTCGCAAGAACCTAAGTTGCGGTGTGCAATCTCTGGAGTTGACCTTCCATAACTCACTCTTCACAAGGCAAAGGGATAGCTTAGCAAGATGGTTTGGCGGTCATCCAAGAGGAACACCTCACGTGCTACTGTTACATCCCCAATTCCCCATCACTACAACTTCACAAACAAATCGCTGACATAGTGTAAACGAATGACTGTTTTAAGTCTAGCCGCTATCCACGCAATCTTTCTGACATGTTAGGACCTGTGGGAACATTTGTTCTATCTAGTTAGTGCAGCTTGTTGTGTGATTGAGATATGCAAGCCTGACAACCACGTCAAAGTAGCAGCTGTGTGTCGGGTTCTTCCACTTTCAAAGGAAATATTTGGAAGTCATTAGGCAGGATGGAGAGACGGGTATTCTAATCAAACATAATCACAATTTGCTTAGTTTTGGATAGTTTGATATATCGAACATCTCTATTTTGTCAATAAATATATAAAATAATAAAGCAGCATGAACGGGTATTTTTCAACAAGAAAAACTCACATAACTCACACTCGTCGATTCATTTGGATTCCAAAGAAAACGATTTTTAGCCTGACCGAATGGATAAGTAACCTCGTGGAAATTATGTTCAGTATTTTGAGTAGAAGAGGAAGAGAGGTGAAGTTGTTGTCGTTGCCAGCTAATTACTTCTTCTTGTAAAGCTTTAATTGCATTACTGGCTAACCGATTCGCTTCTATTTGATTGAACGATACATCAATATGATTTGGATTTGTCATTTCGTCTAATAATTGATCATGTTGGACTATTTGAGTTATGTGACTTAGGAAAGGTGAACTATTTTGGGATTCGATTTCTTTTAGTTTAGATGATTTATCAGTTGAAGACAGATGATTTGAATGACTTCTTTTCAATGATTCTTTATGATTTACTTTTCTGACGTTTTCTAGTATCACAAACATTAAATAACAAATGCATACATTTAAAATGTATGGGAGTATTTCTAATAGTATATTCAGTTAGGACAAAATATATGTAAAAAAGTTATGAAATAGCTCTGTTAGTCCAACTTCTTTCAAGATATGTAGTTTGAATTTACTAGTCCTACCTATTCAATAGCAAGGATCAGTATTCAATAGTGTAGACGCTAATTCAATTTTGACAAGACCATTGATACACTTGTAGTTGCATGGATGAAATTACTATCTAGTCGATTCGCCAGCCTATTGTTCTGACCATTATTAGCAACAACAACAACACGATACGATACCACCGGAAACGTGACGCAAAAAGATAAGACGAGAAGACATATTGTTGACGTGGAGAGCTGTTAATGTCTCATATCATTAGCGAAAGCGGTTGATATCGCTTGCGTATACATATACTTTAAGTTATGTTGGGAGACGCTAATTACATTGATAAATTAAAACAGTCAACAACTAATAGGACTCTCGACGACTTTGTACATGGTCCGGGGTTCGATTCCCGGCCACCGACGCACTCCTTTACCTCGGTAAGCCAGAAATAATGCTGGTAAAGAGTAAAGGTTGGGCATGAGGCTAGCAACCCTATCCTGTCACAATAAACACTGCTACAGAAACTTTAAGCCTGTAGCTTGAGGCCCTATGTTCCACTGGAGAACGTGAAGGAAAAAACACTGAAAAACTGGATTTATGAACAATCTTGAAAAAAGTGAAGTTTTACAGCTAAGACAAATTCGCAACTATGTTTTCGAATTTGAAATGTAGCATGATGGCATATACCATTGACTGATATGAGTAGTTGACAATCATCACCGATGTTAATTAGTATCAGTTGCTGGGTAGATTGAAGTGGTTTATACACCGGACAGTCGTTTCGTTAGTCGTGTAGCTGCACACATAGATAGTGTGTGTGTGTACACGAGTTATACTCAGACCAGAAGGCTGAATCAATTCAGATCACGTGAACCAGTAACAGACACAATCATATTTATCATTAACACATTGCACAGTTTAAGGTGTGAATTTAAATCAGACTAAATACACAGAATTATCCTAAATTCAATCAGCACAAGATACACAACAAATATGATTTCAGATTTCACAGTTCAACAATTCGAAGGTTTTTTAATATGCTGATGAATTTGTATTAGAAGAACTCAGGGAAACCAATAATACTGTGAAGTTGCATGTGGATTTGTCGTCTAAGCGTGTCTACTAGTACAGCAATGTGTTTATAAAGCAATCCACTTATGTAATCTCAATCTGATGGGGAAAAGCATATATGTATAAAACAAAACTCACCTTTGTTTTTCTCAGTTGATTCTTTAGACTTTGTCCTACTAGATTTATAAAATCTCTGAATGCTTTTCAAGGCTTCATTAGCAATCCGATTCGCTTCTTCACGTATATCTTGATCTACAACTGATCTCTTCTTTGTAAGTGAAGCAGTTAGCATATTGCTGTCTGTTTCATTTCCATACGAAGACGAGGAAGAGGCGCCTGTTAGAACAGTTCTAATAAAATCATCATCTTTTTCCAGACCAGTGGTTATATTTTTATCCAAATTACTAAGTTTATGATCATTTCGAGATATGGATATATCAACGCCATCACCGACATCATATTTACACTGTTTTGCGACAAGTTTAATTCTTTTTCCATCTACTCTCACACCTCTAGTATTATCACTATTACGCTTATAATGTCGACTTGAAGATTTCTGCTTATTCTGTCTATTATTATTGTTATTATCAGGTGAAGTAAATTCAACTGGATCATTTTTATCCAAGCATCCTTCAGATATACGACGGCTTATTTCTTTGGCAAGCTTTCGAAGTTGAATTTTACGCTCATCTTGTGGATTGGTATTCTCAGATGATGAACTACACTTTACACTGTCATCTGTTATTTTCTTTCTTTTTGTACTCTTCATCATGCTGTCTTTCTCCTCTTGATTATCCTCCATTGTTTCGTCTTCATCACCATCATCATCGTCATCGCCATCACTGCTACTCTCTGCTTTATCCAAATCACAATGCTTCTGTTGTGATGATTTATCTTTTTGTTTTTGAGCAAGTCTATCAAATCGATTGGATGATGTTGTTGATGAATAATTATCAGTTACTGTATGTCCCATACCTTCTGATTGTAGATATAAAGTTGTCTCACAATTATCTTGCATATCTGTATCACCTTCAAAGCTTAATAACTCTTGAAGATCATTCGTTTTAAAAAAACGTTGTTGACGTGGATTTTTAAGAATTCGATTAGTAAGAAATTGTTTAAATATTTGTCTAAATAAAGAACAAGTGAAAATGATAAAAACAATTAATAATTAATAAGTGTTTAAGGTTTGTAACCATCAACTTTAACTAATTGAGAATAAGGAATGAGTTCACCTCATTTATTCTGAGATACACTTTTTATCAGTTGCGTTTTAAAAGGCTGTTTTATTTTCTTCTTTAAACTCAATAACCTAGAAAACATTTTCCCTATACAACGTTAAGAGCTACACTTATTGTCTGAGGGCTTATGATATTCCATACACCCGGTTCCTTTTATTAGTTTGACAAAATACAAGATAGAACAACAGAGTAAATTTACACATATTATGGTGGAGACTTCAGGAAGTTGAAAGGGAGGGTAGTAAAGTAAAATTATAAAATAGATCAAATATTCTAATCTACTAGATTTTGAAACTTAATAGTGAGTTCAACTCAGTAAGTAAAAATGATGATACAGTATGATATTATATATTATTTTATTTAAACGCAGGAAAACTTGGTACCATATAGCACCAAGATGTACCGCACAATAATAATAAAACAACAGAGATCAAAAGTAAAAAAATATAAATAGAGAACAGATAAAGAACTTCATCTGACAGGAAAACAGTCACGCTTAACAATTTCAAACAGTATTCGTTAACTATCATCGGGAAGAGAAGAAAGAAAGAAATTGCAACACGTCCGCCATAGATTACGATTCTTGGCCATATCCGATAACGTTTCGAGCCATCGATTCGAGCTATCTCGAGGACCCCAACCAGGGAGTCGTGACGCACCAAACGATGGTAATCTAGTACAAATATCCTTCATCCCATGATACCAGGTAGACGTAACACACCAACCGATGCTAATCTAGCACAAAAATCCTTCATCCCACGACGCCACGTCATGGACTGACCACCTCTCCGCCTTTTCCAACCCGTCCCAGGGCTAGCGAACAGAGACCTGTACGGAAGCCTCTGGGGTGACATTCGGAGCACATGTCCAAGCCACCGGAGCCGGTGTTTCCAGATGACGACATTCAAGGAATAGTGATCTCCACTTTGTTCAAACACACGCCGCCGAACCTCAGAATTACTCACGCGATGATGCCATCGAACGCAAGCAATCCTGCGGAGACAGCGGTGATCGAACACGCAGAGTCGCCGCACATCCTCAGCTCAGAGAGGCCAGGTTTCACAGGCGCAGAGCCAAACAGCTCGCACCAAAGCATTGTATACCCGACCTTTGACAGCCAGGCTAACGTCGCGACGGCGCCAGAGGTGGCTCAAGTTGATGTATGCCACCCTAGCCTTCATTATACGGTTGGAAATCTAATCCGTCACCAAACCGCCAGCACTCACACAACTACCCAGGTACACAAACTTATCAACAACTTCAAGCGGTTCACCCGCAACAGTGAGTGCAGGTACAGGCTCCTGCCAATCTTGTAACAGTACTTTGCACTTAGACGGCCCAAAGCACATACCATACTTACAGACACTGATCGCCAACTGATTAAGTGCGATTTCGGCAGCCTGCATGCTATCGCACAGTAAGACGATATCGTCTGCATACTCGAGGTCGAAAAGTCTATCTCCAGGTAGCAGATCTACACCACCTTCACGCACATCCTTCAGAGCTGACTCCAGAATGTCATCGATGGCAAAGTTAAAGAGAAACGGAGAGATTGGGAAACCCTGTCTAACCCCACTGTTGGTTGGGAACAGTGGTGATAGTTGGTTGTATGCCCTCACTCTACTGAGGTGTTTCTGTAAAGGGCTTTCAGGATGTTAACAAATTTATCAGGTACACCTCTCTCTAACAGACAGTTCCAAAGCACAGTTCTGTCGAACGAATCGAAGGCAGCCCTAATATCAAGAAACACAACGATCGTTGGCCTGCAATACGTGTGGCGGTGTTCCAACAACTGACGAAGGGTGAACACATGATCAATGCATCCACGACCTGAACGAAACCCAGCCTGCTCTCTGCGAATCAATCCTTCACGTATTTTGCACAGTCTGCGAAGCAAGACAGCAGCCAATATTTTAGACGCAACTGGTAACAGACTGATACCCCTATGATTGTCACACGAATTACGTCGACCCTTTTTAAAGATGGGGACGATAATGGCTTCGTTCCACATTGATGGTAAACTCTCTATCTCCCATACCTTCCTGAACAACCCAGTTAGAGCTATTGTGAGAGTCTCGCCACCATCTTTAAAAAGAGCCGGGGGTAGATTGTCTGGGCCGGGCGCCTTATGGCGTTCTAATACTTGGAGTTCCCTACAGACCTCCGCTTCGGTGGGTGGGTCGGTACTGGGGCTAATGACAGCAGACACTGAAGCTGGTGGCCAGCCAAACTGTTTCTCGAAGTGCTCTGCCCAGCGTTCCAGGCGTCTTTTCAAGGTGGTACCTGGTGTGCCATCTGCCTCACAGACCGTCTCGCTGACACCTTGTTTCTTGCTACCGGTGGCTCGAATAAGTTGGAACAGCCTCCGACTGTTGCCGGATGCAGCACCTGACTCCATCTCACACGCACGTTCTGACCACCAGGCTCTGTGGCCTTTATGTAAACACTGTCTAATCTTGCGCGTGAGCGCCTTTCGCTGATTGTTGTATTCGCTGCCAGCCGGAATGGACCGGAGTTCATCCAGAAGTTGCAAGGAACTCGCAGAAACCCACTGGTTTTTAGCGGGGCATTCTTGTATGTCTTGTATGCATCCTCGCCACCGGAAAGTGACAGCAATATAATCAATCTGAGTCCAAGCTTGCTTCGCAGAGGGAGGACGCCAGGTAGCGCTACGCCGATGGCTGTGCCGAAAGTTGGTGCTAGCTAGAAATAGGTTATGATCCGCGCAAAGCTGCAGAAGACGGTCCCCACTATCTGACCTGCGACCATGTAGTCCCCACTGACCACCTGGACGATTCTCCTCTCACCTTAGACGCCCCACCTGTGCATTCAAGTCCCCAGTCAGCACTATGATATCCCTCCGACCCGCCTGTTTCAAGAGATCGCTCAGTTGGTAGTAAAACTCATCCTTCATTGCATCCGGGCTGCAATCCGTCGGTACATATAGGCAGGGACAACAAATAGACACCGCCCATCTGACCCACTACCCCTTACTTTCGTATAACCTTCCAGCCTCACAGCACATAAACGACTGTTAATGGGAATCCAGTCGAGGAGTGCAGCTTCGGCTCTAGCGCTCAGTGCGACACCGACACCAGCTACGCCGGATGCCGACGCCACAGGGTCCCCGGATAAGCGCAGGTAGTACGTACTACTAGAGCTTTCAGATGAAGAAGATAATCGAAGCACTTCATTGGTATCTTGAATGCGGGTCTCCGAAATACAGCAGACATCGATAGCGAGGCTTTCCAAAGTTCTTGCCAACCCTTCCTGTTATCCGATTTGCATCAGCGTCCGAACATTGTAGGTGGCCAGCTTGAACGCAGCACGCGGTTTCAGGATATCGTGTTAGATGTCACATTGGGGACAACCATTTTGAGGGCTACTCATTAACATCTCGAAACGACACAGATAGGCTGGGAATCCAGACAAAGGCGAAAGGCTGATGAAGGTGAAGAAGTCAAGGTTAGCAAAGGTAAAATACAGGAGTTTATGTATAAAAATAAAAGAAAGGTAGGAAAGACATAAGTTACTTGAGACATCATTATTACTTGAAATTATGGTTACGAGCGCGCGATAAGTTTCAATGAGCCCAGACCGAAGCAAGTGGTTTTCTTAAGGGACCACCTCCCGAGCCTTTGACTTGGAGTCTAATCCACAAGGCAGCGGAGCAGCGTCAGGAGCCGCATTCCCATGGATCCCGGTGACTAATATGGGTACATACGTTATTTGGTCCCATTGGATTGTGGAGCCCATGTACTTCATGGTAACTGCTTTTAGTCTAACTGCTATCCCAACAACCTTCCTGACATGGTAGGACCTGCAGGGACATGAGTCCCAGACAGTTTAGCTTGTTGGGTCACTGTGGTATTCTAGCACGACCACCACAGCAAGGTAGCAGTTGTCGGCCGGGATATTACCCAGTTGAATTAAGTAGACCCACCACATGAAAATCGGGTGTTTAAGCTGACGAGCCATGTCTCTTACACATGTGACATTATTATTATTATTATTATTATTATTACTACTACTACTACTAATAATAATAATAATAATAATAATAATAATAATAGGTCAAATTAAAATATCCCAAATTTTAGAAATACGGATAACTCTGAAAGAAACTTAGAACTGTCCGAAAAGTAATATTGTAAGAAGTTTCTATGGACAGTTTTAGACCAATAATAAAAGGAATGAATATGAGGCTAATGAGCAAAAAAAAGATGAAAGATGGATGCGACGTAATTTCACTGTAATCCCAGTTAAGGCAAACAAGGAGAGGTAAAGCAGATTTGTTAATACGTGTCTTTGAGATAACTGGAAGTTAACCATGAATTATTTTTCAATAAAAAAGACTAAGTTTTCATTTATGACTGAAATGAGATAAAAATAGTCCTACTTCCCTTTTAATCACCGTTAAATACTCTTCCTTTGTCTACTATCACAGAGTACATCCAGAAATGGTGTGGAATTAAGCGTTTGATTAGCAAATGTGATTCATATTAGTAGATTTCGTCAATAATCAACGTGAGTCAGATAACCATTGGAAACTAGAGAGCACAAGACAGCCATTGTATCACAAGTTTGGTACTCTACGGCAGTATGCACCTAGAAATCGTGCATCAGGGGTTGAAAAGCAGGAACTCAGGATTACAAGATGAGAACATCAGCCATTCAGTCACTGAATCGGAATTCATTAGCTCATGTATTCCAACATATGTTCTTTCCTATATTTAAATTTTCAACTTTGGCGACAATACCTAGTGTACAAGAACTTATTTTCATAACTCAGTATTATAAGTCTCTCAGAGGTGTACAACTATGCATACTGTATTTGAATCTCAGTAAGAAAATTGATACCAACTGAGCGGCAACTACAACCAGACGATGAATTTCAAACTGAATAAATTGAACTCCATTATAAATAAGATTTTATTTTGATAAATCACACAGTGTTGTACAGTTATATGATCAGTTCTCATATAACTGTACTTCGAATCGCTGCACATCTGTGCAAAATTCTACGTTGAAACCAATCAGTCAGTCATTGAAATACATGAAATATTTTCAAATAAAAGGATACCTCTGATAAATTTTCTCTTCAATAGTTCCACTAGTCAATAAACGGTAAACAATAACATCACGTAATTGTCCAATACGCCAGGCTCTTTCACGTGCTTGTAAATCTGTAGTTGGATTCCAATCAGGATCATAGATAAGTACACGATTAGCTGAAGTTAAATTTACTCCCAGACCACCAACACGTGTAGTTAACAAAAATACAAATATATCACAAGGATCTGATGTTGTATGTTCAGTATTATTTGTTGAACGATAGTTGAAACGTCGAATAAGTTCATGACGTTGACTAATAGGTGTTGTTCCATCCATTCTAAGATATGATAATTTCATCAACTGTACTAAACGTTCAAGTAATGTAAGCATCTAATAAATAATAATAAATTTAAAAGAATGAAATACTTGAGTAGATAAACTTTATAAAATAATGAATCATTTCAAATTTATCAAAATAATATAACAGCTACAGAAAGAGATTACAGTAAAAAAAGAAAGGCTATAATGAAAAGCAGAAAACACATTCAAGTGTTTTACAATACAGAGTAAATACATTTTTGTCCCTGAGTAATGATTGTAGACACTCTCTATCATTAATGTTATTATGGTATTGACTCTCGTAAGGCTGAGAGTGGGTAAACTTTCTTGTTCCGCTCAAAATTTTTGCATATGGCTATATGATCAAAGCCTCTGCTAGGTAAGTCCCATTCACTGACCTCATATATTCTTGTAAAAGTGAAAGACTACAAGAGAAAGATCCGGCGATTGAACTAGTGGACACGTAGGTCAATCTAGGGACGCTGGAAAGACCTGGTCCCAAATCTATGATGCCAGTAGGCTTCAGAATCCAAAAAGAAAGAATGGGTTACGAACATGTTTTGGTAACCAGAAATCACCGTTACACAGGCAAGCAGATCAGACTTTAAGACAAGGAGGTGGTATCGTGGGACAACCATATGCTTAGGTTTTGTTGTTCAGACACCTTCTCAGATTAATCCCCATACAGAAACACCTCAGGTAGAGGGACGGCATACAACCAGCGATCACTGTTATTCTCGACCAGTACGGTTGCACACTCTCACCAGTTCCTTCAGACTTTGCTACCGATGACATTCTGGAAACAGCTCCAAAGGATGTGTTGTGCTGTTGTATATCTGAAGCACTAGGAAACACTTTTTGACGGAGTATGCGGATGATATCGTCTTACTAGACGATAACATGCAAGCTGTCCAAATCACATTTAGAAAGTTGACAATCAATGTCTGTATGACATGTGTTTTGGGAGGAGACTATGACTGGACTCACCCTTGAAGGTCAACCATTAGAAATGGTTGGTAGGTTCGTGTATCGAGGTAGTTGTATGAGTGTTGGCAAACGTGTGGTCAAATTTCTGCCTATATTGTGAAACCCAACCTGGAACACCTTGGTGCGGTCACGACTCACGGTCTTGTTTTACGCCTACGAAACCTTGTCTCTCCAAGCCGAAGGTGTGCGACAACTCTGTGTATTCAATCATCGCTACTTCTGCTGAGTTGCCCGCACCCGATGGTATCATCATGTTATTCATTCTGAGGTCCAGCAGTGTGTGAAAGTCATCATTTAATAAGTGTTGTCATCTTGAAAATCAGCTTTAATCGATAGAAAGTGTACCATGAATGTCATCCCGGTGACTTCACAGCATTTACTATTTGCTAGCTGTGGAACAAGCTGGGAAAAGCGGATGGGTGGTTAGACCATGACATGGATGTGAAGCATCACAAGCATCTGGATGAAGCACGGGAGATAATTCGAGTCGGTTTTCATGTATGGCAGGCAGTCATAATAAATAACGGCGAACACACTGCAGTCTGTTCCTTTCTTCTCTTTCTGAAAATAACATGTAGTAGTGAACCATCCATTAGATTCGCTTGATAACTATACTTACTTGTTTTCTTGATGATGTAGCCCATTTATTCAATTCTATTTTATTATACTGTTGTTTTGTTATATTTGTGTGGAGCATCTCTTGCTGCCAATATTGCACCAAGTTTGTGTTTAAATAAAAAATAATGCTCTACAGTCCCTGCCAGAACTATCTGAAACACCAAAGAGCCATCTCGCTTGTTTGAGACCAAACTTATCAGCTGTGTTACCTACAGTTAAACTCAGCTCAGACAGCTGAAACAGTTCAAACAGTTTACACATATATTAACAGCTCAAATCACCCTTGAACTGTATAATCTACAAATGACGACATTAACTCAGATAATAGCTACATGCACATGATTTTGAAAGAAAAACAGTCATTTAAACTCTATTCAAAATACACATAATATTTATCATAGGACTTGTTATTTATTTGTAAATCATTGGGTCAAGTTAAATTTTAAGCACCAGTAAGTGCCAGTGGAGTGCGGTCGCACTGATGACCTTAAAACACTCAGCGAGCGAGTTGATGAAACCTGGTAAATAATACTGGGTGAAGTTAAACTATCACATCCAAAGCCAAGTTCTTCCAAAAGTTGACCTTCAAGAACCAGTCAGACATTTTTTTAAATATAGCTTAACTCCACACCGTATATTTGGTACAAGTATGGAATTTTCAGCATGTGATATCGGTAGCCAAAATTTTGCAGGCCGACAACTGATATCCGGTGTGCTTTGGCAGGGAATCAAAACCCGGACCATGTACATGGTCCGCGAGAGTCCTAACCGCTGAGCCACCAGAGAATGCTATAAAATGTCATTCCAAATCAAATCATGTCTGCCTTTTTGGAGAAGGTAGATACAGTATTCCACTTATTCTCTAGGTACTCCTTCTACAAATATATACTGTTAGGTAGGGCTATGGCATTTTAGACTAAGGTGTAGGGTCTAGGGTTAAACTTACGATTAGGAGTAGGTTTAAGAACTATGTCAGAAATATCAATAGATCTCAAAGTACGATGACCTACAGTCACTTGGATGAATGCATCTATCGCGCATGGTACGATTTATTTATAGATCATCTGTGTGGTGACTGGGAAACATTCTTACAACACAAACGACAACTATATAGCACAATATCATGTCTGCAATGTTTTTAGTGCATTTTTTCAAAGATTATCTGACTTTTTGCATTTGAATTATAATTGGTTATCGAAGGCTATCCTGCGTAACAGTTTCATGCCTTTTTAATTCATTATTATCGTGCATACATGTATTTTATACGCAAAACTCGCCTCTATCATATGGTTGATAGGTTTCAGGTCATTCGTTCGTTGGTGCTTGCTGGTGTTCACCGTTTAACTTTGCCCATCATTGAATAAAAGAGAAACGAATCAAAAACAGAGGCAAAACGTTGTAAAGAGATATGTTTTTTATAAAAAGAAAAAAGAGAACGTGAAACCATTGACTTACCCTACGACTTTGTGAAAATAGTAAAACTTTGTGTCCTTGATCAAACCAATTCTTAAGAAGTGAAGCAACCACTAACATTTTACTAGATCGACGTGGACAACCAAATCTCGACCATGAATAAGATAAGCAGACATTTTCAATGCCTTGTTTATCAACTTCATATTCTTCATTTAAAAAACAACTATCTCTCGGTCCACCTGTAGCCAAATCTGGATGATTGCATAGATTTCGCAATAGGATTAAAGACGGAAAAATCTAGAGAAACAAAAGAGAAATCTAGAAATGCAATAACTATTCAGTATTTAGCTAGAGCTATGTGCACAGGACAAAGGAATAAGAGTTGGCTTTCAAAACAGAGATAACAACACCATTTAATTATGAATAACTCAACTTAAAACTTACATTGCCTTTACCATTTAACAGATCTTTACATGTTTGTGATTCCAAATATTCGCGATAAAGTTTCCGTTGATATTCCGTTAGTCGACAAAATAAAACCTGTAAACGATAAATTTACATATCATGACATACATATATATATACATGGTGTGTACTATTGATGAGAATGTTAAAATGACCGCTATTCTACAACCTATTTGTCATAAATTTCAATAAGACAATAATTCTACTAGATAAACTACTAAGTCCTGATGAATTTCTACGGACAGTGGATGCATCTGACTGACTAGCACGTGATTCTGAAGCTTCGAATACTTGGGAGACTCTATAATATGTCCACCGACGCATGTGCTTATGAAATCGATGTAATTATGAAAAATAAACTTTAGCTATAAAGGCAAGTGTAGACTGCCTGGTCTCTGTGGACGAGTTGCTAAGAATTAATATCTAGAGGACTTTTAGTGATATGATGGCGCAGATTAAAGCCTAATTATTCTCCACATGATTAATTTTTTATCCCGTATATTTGCGAGATTGTATTGCTTTCATCTCTTTTCTGTGCATATGTATATCTTTATAAAGTGTGATGAATTGAACTGTTCCACTTTAGTGGAAAGTTCTACACTTATACATTTATACTTATATCAAAGTTCTACACTGTTGGAAATTCAGTTCAGTCCATACACTAGTCTTCTTCAATTTCAGAAGTCAGTAATCTTACAACTACGATGCCAAGCGATAACTGACGGAACGGAGACAAACCAGTGACTAATATCTTTAATGAAGATATATTTAAAGAAATAACTTATGAATATGGATGGGTTAATTTTCAACTACTTTATCAATAAAAAATGCAATAAATCTTTGACTACAGTCATAGGTCTATTATTAGGCTTTTTGATTTAATAACCTTTGGCTTTTAATACAATTAGCAATTTGTTAAGTACACAGTTTAGAGTGCTATTTCTTTAGAAACCCAAAAATATTTAGATCACAACCCCTGTAAACTGTTTGTAAATGATACAAAGAAAGCAAGTTAAGTGTGCTGCCCTCTAGTTTCAATGGATAATGCTTTCTAATTATACTAACTTGATTCTAAGGGCGAATTATCTTTTGCTTCACTTGTAATTTGCATAGTACTGATTGGATAACATATTTAACTGTAGATAATTCATGAACACATATCATTTATAATTTAATGCAAAGACATTACTGACCAATATGATTATATTAAAGGAAGAGAGATGATTTACACCTATGTTCAACTTCCCGGCCGATAACTGCTACCTTGTCGTGGTGGTCGGGCTTGAATACCGCAATGGCCCAACAAGCTGAACTGACTGGGACCCTGTCTCCACAGGTCCTACCATGTCAGGAAGGTTTTCTGGATAGCGGTTAAACTAAAAGCAGTTACCATGGGGTACATGGGCTCCAGTTTCCAATCGGATCAAATGGCGTATGAACCCACATGGGTCACCGGCAACCATGGGAATGCAGCTCCTGACGCTGCTCCGCTGCCTTGCGGATTAGACTCCAAGTCAAAGGCTCGGGGGTGGTCCCTTAATAAAGCCACCTGCTTCGGTCTGGGCGCCCGGGCAGTATCTCAGCCCGCACACAATGAATGAATCAAAGCAACGAACTCCCATTGAAACTCAACGCGCTAATTAAAATGATTCCAAGCAATATTGATCCCTCAAGGAACTTATTTCCTTCCTACCCTACTTTTATTTTTATACATAGTTTCCTGTATTGTACCTTTTCTAACCTTGGCTTCTTAACCTTCGACAGCCTTTCGCCTTTGTCGACATTCCCAGCCTATCCGTGTCGTTTCGAGATGTTAGTGAGTAGTCCTCAAAATGGTTGTTCCCAATGTGACATCTAACACGGATATCCTGAAACCGCGTCTGTCTGTCTGTCTGTTTTCGACATAGAACTTTGCACAAATGTGCGGAAGTTCAAGTCGCCACATTCCGTGTAGCACGCGAAGCAAGAGAAGAAAGTACAAGAAAAGCATAATAGAAACAGTGAGCAGAGGTGTGAGACAAAGGAGTAATAAAGAAATACAAAACAATTTCATTGAAGATCATAAGTCACAGGGAGTGGATGCATCTGCGCCACTGAGAACGATTTTGAGCCATGTCACCAATTGTTTCCAACCATAGATTTTTGCCGTCCCGAGGACCCCAGCCTGGAAGTCTACACCTTCCTACGTGGCTTAGACCAACTGTTGTGGATTTCATTGACTGATGCCAAGTTTTTGTTTGACCGCCGCTAGCTTTTTTCCAGCCTGACCATGTATCCGCTGACATTGCTCGTCGAGGGAGGCGATGACTTGGCATACGTAACACATGTCCTAACCATCTCAGTCGATGTAGCTTCACGACTTCGTCGATTGATTTCTCCTGTTTACCTAAAACTCTACGCCTAACCTCCATGTTGCTCACCTTATTATGCCACTTTACACGGGAAATAGAACGCAGGCACCCATGATCAAAGGCAGCTAGTCTTTTCATGTCTTCCACTCTCAGTGGCCAGGTCTCACAACCATAAAGGAGGACGGAGCGGACTGATGAGCAGTACACCCGCCCTTTGGTCGATATTCGAACATCTCGTCTACGCCAGAGTCGGCGTAAACTAACAAATGCGAAACGAGCCCCTTGTATTCGTGCTGAGATTTCGTCAGAGATCAGCCCGTTGGGGCTGATGGTACTTCCCAAATAAGTGAAGCGGTCAACGTGCTCTACCACTTCACTTCCTATTTTTAAACTAGGCGTCGATGTAGTCCAGTCCTGTAACATCATCTTGCATTTCACGGCGGGAGCGAATCGCATCCCAAACATTCGTAGATTGCTGTTCAAGGTGTTTAGAAGACTCTGCATTTTGTCAGCGTCTTCGCCTAGAAGGACTATATCGTCTGCATATTCCAAGTCAACGAGATTATTCCCCGGTAGCAAGTCAATCCCTGAGTCGCTGAAGTTACCTAGGGTTAAGTCCATTAACACATCTATGATGAAGTTGAATAGAAAAGGAGATAATGGGCATCCTTGACGGACACCACTGGTCGTCATCAGTTCAGATGACAGCTCGCCGTAAGCCCTCACCTGGCTGTATGAGTACGAAACCGCGTGCTGCGTTCAAGCTGGCCACCTACAATGTTCGGACGCTGATGCAAATCGGACAACAGGAAGGGTTGGCAAGAACTTTGGAAAGCCTCGCTATCGATGTCTGCTGCATTTCGGAGACCCGCATTCAAGATCCCAGTGAAGTGCTTCGACTATCCTCTCCATCTGGAAGTTCTAGTAGTATGTACCACCTGCGCTTATCCGGGGACCCTGTTTTTTTGGCGTAGCGTAGCTGGTGTCGGTGTCGCACTGAGCGCTAGAGCCGAAGCTGCACTGCTCGACTGGATTCCCATTAACAGTCGTTTATGTGCTGTGAGGCTGGAAGGTTATACGAAAGTAAGGATAGTAGGCCAGATAGGCGGTGTCTATTTGTTGTCTCTGCCTATGCACCGACGGATTGCAGCCCGGATGCAATGAAGGATGAGTTTTACTACCAACTGAGCGATCTCTTGAAACAGGCGGGTCGGAGGGATATCGTAGTGCTGGCTGGGGACTTGAATGCACAGGTGGGGCGTCTAAGCTCAGAGGAGAATCGTCTAGGTGGTCAGTGGGGACTACATGGTCGCAGGTCAGATAATGGGGACCGTCTTCTGCAGCTTTGCGCGGATCACAACCTATTTCTAGCTAGCACCAACTTCCGGCACAGCCATCGCCGTAGCGCTACCTGGCGTCCTCCCTCTGCGAAGCAAGCTTGGACTCAGATTGATCATATCGCGGTCAGTTTCCGGTGGCGGGATGCATACAAGACTGTCGCTCCTTCTGGAGCACATGCCTGGACTCCGATCATGCGTTAGTGTGTGCCAAGTTCGTCTTGCGATTTGGTGGGGTTCGTAAAAGCCGTCGTCTAAGCGTTGATGTGAGCAAACTAGTAGCACCTGCTACTTCTTTGAAATATCAGAATGAGTTAAAAACAATGCTTGCCAGCAACCCCCCAAGTAGTATAGATGAACATTGGCTTCATGTGCAAGGTGCCATGCAAAAGGCGAGTGTAGCCGCTTGCGGCTTGAAAGAATGCTCCGCTAACAACCACTGGGTTTCTGCGAGTTCCTTGCAACTCATGGATGAACGCCGGTCCATTCCGGCTGGCAGCGAATACAACAATCAGCGAAAGGCGCTCACGCGCAAGATTAGACAGTGTTTACGTAAGGACCGCGAAGCCTGGTGGTCAGAACGTGCGTGTGAGATGGAGTCAGCTGCTGCATCTGGCAACAGTCGGAAGCTGTTCCAACTCATACGAGCCACCGGCAGCAAGAAACAAGGTGTCAGCGAGACGGTCTGTGAGGCAGATGGCACTCCAATTACCAGCCTGAAAAGACGCCTGGAACGCTGGGCAGAGCACTTCGGGAAGCAGTTCAGCTGGCCACCAGCTTCAGTGTCTACTATCATTAGCCCGAGTGCTCCTTGGTCGGTTAGTACCGACCCACCCACCGAAGCGGAGGTCCGTAAGGAACTCCAAGTTCTGAAACGCCATAAGGCGCCCGGCCCAGACAAATTACCCCCGGCTCTTTTTAAAGATGGTGGCGAGACTCTCACAATGGCTCTAACTGGGTTGTTCAGGAAGGTGTGGGAGACAGAGAGTGTACCATCAATGTGGAACGAAGCCATTATCGTCCCCATCTTTAAAAAGGGTCGACGTAATTCGTGTGACAATCATAGGGGTATCAGTCTGTTACCAGTCGCGTCTAAAATATTGGCTGCTGTCTTGCTTCGCAGACTGTGCAAAATACGTGAAGGATTGATTCGCGAAGAGCAGGCTGGGTTTCGTTCAGGTCGTGGATGCATTGATCAGGTGTTCACCCTTCGTCAGTTGTTGGAACACCGCCACACGTATTGCAGGCCAACGATCGTTGTGTTTCTTGATATTAGGGCTGCCTTCGATTCGTTGGACAGAACTGTGCTCTGGAACTGTCTGTTAGAGAGAGGTGTACCTGAGAAATTTGTTAACATCCTGAAAGCCCTATACAGAAACACCTCAGGTAGAGTGAGGGCATACAACCAACTATCACCACTGTTCCCAACCAACAGTGGGGTTAGACAGGGTTGCCCAATCTCTCCGTTTCTCTTTAACTTTGCCATCGATGACATTCTGGAGTCAGCTCTGAAGGATGTGCGTGAAGGTGGTGTAGATCTGCTACCTGGAGATAGACTTTTCGACCTCGAGTATGCAGACGATATCGTCTTACTGTGCGATAGCATGCAGGCTGCCCAAATCGCACTTAATCAGTTGGCGATCAGTGTCTGTAAGTATGGTATGTGCTTTGCGCCGTCTAAGTGCAAAGTACTGTTACAAGATTGGCAGGAGCCTGTACCTGCACTCACTCTTGCGGGTGAACCGCTTGAAGTTGTTGATAAGTTTGTGTACCTGGGTAGTTGTGTGAGTGCTGGCGGAGGGGTGACGGATGAGATTTCCAACCGTATAATGAAGGCTAGGGTGGCATACATCAACTTGAGCCACCTCTGGCGCCGTCGCGACGTTAGCCTGGCTGTCAAAGGTCGGGTATACAATGCTTCGGTGCGAGCTGTCCTGCTCTACGCCTGTGAAACCTGGCCTCTCCGAGCTGAGGATGTGCGGCGACTCTGCGTGTTCGATCACCGCTGTCTCCGCAGGATTGCTTGCGTTCGATGGCATCATCGCGTGAGTAATTCTGAGGTTCGGCGGCGTGTGTTTGAACAAAGTGGAGATCACTATTCCTTGAATGTCGTCATCTGGAAACACCGGCTCCGGTGGCTTGGACATGTGCTCCGAATGTCACCCCAGAGGCTTCCGTACAGGTCTCTGTTCGCTAGCCCTGGGACGGGATGGAAAAGGCGGAGAGGTGGTCAGTCCATGACGTGGCGTCGTGGGATGAAGGATTTTTGTGCTAGATTAGCATCGGTTGGTGTGTCACGACTCCCTGGTTGGGGTCCGAGAGATAGCTCAAATCGATGGCTCGAAACGTTATCGGATATGGCCAAGAATCGTAATCAGTGGCGAATGTGTTGTGATTTCCTTCTTTCTTCCCTTCTCGATGATAGCTAACGAACACTGTTTGAACTTGTTAAGCATGACTGTTTTCCTTCCAGATGAAGTTCTTTATCCGTTCTCTACTTATATATATTTTTTCTTTTCCTTCCTTCCTTTTTTTTTGATCTATGTTGTTTTATTATTATTGTGTGGCGCATCTTTCTTGGTGCCATATTGTACCAAGTTTTTTTATGCGTTTAAATAAATAAATAAATAATAAATATGTTCAACTTACTTGTTCAGATTTAGACGGCAGTTGTATTTGTACATCAGCTTTGAGTCGGCGAATAAGGTATGGCTTTAAAAGATCGCGTAGGGTACATGCACATTGATATGCTGTTTCAACCTTTAGGTGAAAAAACAATCAACAATAAATGATAGGGAGGAAACAGATTTTCGAATTATCTCCCAACTTATTGACCTTTAAGATGTTTAACAACAATAAAGTAAAGTCAGACTATTAGTAAACTAGACGCAAAAATTATCATTTTTTGATACATAGACAAATTTATACATCCGCATGGTAGGTTAATTTTATCGCTTATGAAATTCGGTAACTATAATCTTAGATTGTGAATATTTTAGTAATTTCTTTGCTTTTATATGGTTGAGTTTTAATAACAGAGCTTTCAACTTTGTCACTCCTCGTGAATCAACACCTTAGAAATGGATATAATAATGTCGGAAGTCATCTCTAGATCAAAACCAGTGGTCAAAAGAAAGAAACTATCAGAATGAATGAAAAGGAATAAACTAAGACGGTGACGAAACACTATTGAGATGATGTGATGGCTAACTGGTCGAGTAGTATAGGTATTTTTTAATGAAAGAAAATTGGAACTTACATACACAGGGTGCAACCAACATAGACGCAATAAAGAAATACTCATTCAACAACAAGCAGCCAGCCAAAGCTACTACTATTACGACTTTAAATTATATATATATATATATATATATATATATATATATATATATATCATTCCTTTGCGTCTCGGGTGGAGCACAGTGTAACAGCAGAAGGCAAGACACGGAAGCAAACGTGTATTTTCAATTGATCACACCGCTGTTTATATCTATACAATTTATATTTTTTAAACAATCATTGAGCGTGTGATCTTGATTTACATTAAACGACATGAAATAGATTGTTCAAATACATATATAGTATTGTGTTGCTAATGATGTATTGCTGTATTGAGCTGTGGGAATATGTGAGAATAATATTTCGTTGGAACACACTGTCTGTATCACACCATCACAATAGGGTTTCATACTCGAGCTTTGAAGTTTCAGTAGCGGTGGTGATGCTTTCACGAAGTGGGGTCGCTAGCTTCACGCCCAACCTTCCCTTTTTACTGAACTTCCTACTGGCTAAGCTAGGTTTAAGAGTGCAACGGTTGGGATTCGAACCCAGACTACATGCGTGGTTGGCAATCATGGCACCACTGAACCACAGACGCACATATTCGTATTTATGAACAAAATTTTTATGAAGAAAAACTATTACCATTACAACAACTTACTTGAAGTGGTGAGGCAGTAGCATAACCTCCCTGAGTAATCGGTATAGAAAATTGTTGCATAAATTCCGGTAGTGGTCCCAAGCGTCCCGGGCATACAAAATCGAAAATTGACCATAACTCGCGTAAATTATTTTGAATAGGACTACCAGAAAGAATTAGTCGATGCGGAGTTGAGAACTAAAACAATCATTTTTTTAAAATTACAATGAAAAAAGGTGAATAATTGAGACACCTACATGTTTTACAGCCAATGTGGCTTCAGCTTCTGGATTCTTTATTTTATGGCCTTCATCTAAAATAATATATGACCAATTTCGACTTGTCAGTACATCGCGATAGGTTACCAGAGTAGCATAGGTGGTTAGTAATACACTTCCTGGATTATTGGATATTGTTTGTATAAGTTTATTCTAAACAATTGTAATGAATACAAGAATAAACACTTAAGCAAGATGAACTGAAAAAAAAGAGAAAACCAACAAGATTTGTTAAAAAAGAAAAGAAATAATAATTCACTACTTACCGGTTTTCCGTAACCTGATCCAGTAGAATGTAATATAGCAACACGAATAGGTGGCCACCATGAATGAAATTCTGACATCCATTGTTTCAGTACTGTAGCTGGACAAACAATCAGACATGGACCTAATCCAACGAAACTAATAAAATAAAAATTGTAAGTCAATGAATATATACAGAAAGTACAGAAAAAGTTCGTTCAACCCCTCCAACTTTCATGGTCTTAATCCCTGTATGCTAAAGTATGGTAATCCCCAATCACATTTTAGCTCTACCAATTTTTCATTTTGTCTTTTCGATTTGTAGTCTCTTCCTTATTACGTCAATTGTTACTATTACTATTTTCACTCTGAACTGTCCCCGGTATTATTTCACTTGTTCCACTTGTCCTTCTAAATCAATTCTTTTTAACAACGTTAAATTCCATGCTATCAAATTTCACACAATATTACGTAACGTTTTTATTTTATTCGATTTGTCTACTAATCCTATAATTACTCATTCTTTTCAAGTTCTATCCATCCTATGAATATATATATATATATTCGTTATTTATTTTGAGCATATAAATCAGAGATACGTAAATTTATGCATATACCTGTACAAAAAATACTTTCCCTTGTGTTTGTACATACCAATTTTGCGTGAAAATAGCAATAGCAACAACAACAACAATGTAGTAATTTATTGTACTTGAAATATTAGTATTTTGAGATGACGAAAATAGAAGGATCTAAACAAAACCCAGAGAGGGCAGCAATCAGGAATTTGTATTTAGCGGAATTCGAATGCAATTCATATAAGAAACATATCAACAGTCAACAGTATGTATTTTAAACAATACACAGATAGAAATTGTCAATCACCACATCCGCCACACCTCGAATATCTCCTCGCGTATTTATAACGATGTCTCGGTTTGCTTGCAAGTAGCTGCGACCTTCTAACTGATTCTGTGATATTATTTTCATCAGTTTATCTGGACTTATTTCAGAATTATCTACAAAATCAGGATTATTAGCGGAATCAATAATATTATAATTGGAACGACCTACTTCATTTATTGTCACTTTGTCCAGGTGTCTGTTATGAACTGAGTGATCTTTGATGTCTAATATCTTCACCACTCGATTTCCCATTTTTTGTAGTATAATTCCAACAGAAGGTCTGTAGTCATTCCCTTTGTAATAATGTACATTAGAAGTCGTGGACATCAGATGCTTTTTGAGAATTCGAGATTTGAAAAGTTTTGCATGACTTTCACGGGTACTTGTATGCTCTGCATTCGACAGACGCAGTCTATGCATATGCAGTAATTCCTCAATTTTAATCAGTTGCTCTCTCATCTCATTCAGGTCTTTTCGTGTTTTCGACAGTTCACACTGTAACTCAGCTACCTCATTTTTGAAAACAGTTGACACTTGAGTTGCCGAACTTGTAGTGGAGGTTTTCGTTGGATTAGCTTAAGTATTTTGGAAGGTTGAAAGACACATTGACTCCATTTTACTAGACAGCTTGGGAGAATTATAAGAATGTTGAGCAACATAAGTACTCGAACTTCTGCAAACCGTCTTGATGTGTCCAGCTTTACCACATTTATAGCACTTAGCACCCCGAAAATGGCAAGTGCTTCGTAGATGTAACTTTCCACAGGATAAACACGGTTTAATGTTTTTGATCTCTCGCTGCATTCTATTACCTGTGGACGGCAGTTTGGATTTCTTTCCATGAACACTTGTATTTTCGACTTTGGACAGCATAACATCAGATACTGACGTAGTGGGAGCAGAGTATTCATTATGGACATCTTCATATGTAATACATACATCTTTAGCAGTTTGAAAGGTACAAGAAGGAATCTGAATTAACTCTTTCTCTAATTTAGGAATATTGATTCCAGCAATTAGACGATCACGTAGTTGAGTGTGCAGCTGATCTCCAAAATTACACTTTGAAGCTTGTATTTGGAGTTGTAGTATAAAGTCTCTTATCTTCTGATTGGGAGAACGTACCAGTTTGTTGAACTGAGCCCTCTCTCTCGTCTCAAAAGTAGTTACATGGAAGTGATCTATAAGAAGTTCACGGAGCTTAGCATATGGCAGCTAAATGGGTTTATCTGGAAATGCCAGATTCTTCACTAGGCTATATGCATCTAGCCCAATAGCAGTGATGAAATGAGCTGGTATTTTGTCATCCCGAACATTTTTTGAAATGCACCACGCATGGAAGCATTCCAAATAATCAGCAATCTCCCGCGGAGAACCATTAAGAGGAAATTTTCCCAGGTTACTTAGCTCCATCGCGACGCCAATTTGTAGTAATTTATTGTACTTGAAATATTAGTATTTTGAGATGACGAAAATAGAAGGATCTAAACAAAACCCAGAGAGGGCAGCAATCAGGAATTTGTATTTAGCGGAATTCGAATGCAATTCATATAAGAAACATATCAACAGTCAACAGTATGTATTTTAAACAATACACAGATAGAAATTGTCAATCACCACAAACAACAACAACAGAATGGTGATCAAAGTGTTAACAAAGCACTTGATCATTGAATAAAACTAGTTTAAGGGAATAGAGAATATTTCAAAGATGAATGCACTAGGAAAAACAAAGAAAAAATAACAAACAGTAATACACATGTCTACGTTAGCCTAGGCACTCTACCACAATAATTTTAAGGTGATTACTACTACTACTACTACCTCTTATACGCCCACACGTAGACTAGGTTTACGAATGTCAATGACTAAGACTCCACGATTACTTGTCTACTTTTTTTTCGTTGTCTATTGATAATACAGAAAGTTTCAATGATGGTATTGTCGTCTGCACTAAGGTGCTGCCGCGAAATCCGTTCGAATTAGTAAGTGAAGCTTGGTGTGTTGAGAAGAATTAGTGTCATACCTTCCCCTGGATTGTCCCATTTGGTAATGCTAGAAAGAAATACGAAATTCGGCTTTGTTGTAAGCTCTCTGTATAGACCAGTTCAACAGAAATAATCTCCTTTAAAAGATAAGTGAGTAAATACTAGTTTCCAGAGGTTATATAGAATGGTGTTATGTATTTGAGAAATACTTGTAAAAATGAAGTCTACAGAGTAACCATATTTCATCTGAATATCTTTCAGTGCTTTTACTTTTTAACCTATTGTTTTGTCACAGCAAATGTTTCTAGCTCTGTCATACAGATCATATTACGTGTGCATTAATGTACTCATTTAATGCGTAACAGTGTATAAAGTAGTCTGTCTGTCTGTTTTCGACATAGAACTTTGCACATATGTGCGGCAGTTCAAGTCGCCGCATTCCATGTAGCACACAAAGCAAGAGAAGAAAGTACAGGAAAAGTATAATAGAGACAGTAAACAGAGGTGTGAGACAAAGGAATAGTAGTAACGAAGAACAATATAGTTTGATTGGAAATCATCAGTCACAAGGAGTGGATGCATCTGCGCCACTGAGAATGATTTTGAGTCATGTCACCAATTGTTTCCAACCATTTGTTTTTACCGTCCCGAGGACCCCAACCTGGAAGTTTACACCTTCCTACATGGCTTAGACTAACTGTTGTAGATTTCATTGACTGGTGCCAAGTTTTTGTTTGACCGCCACTAGCTCTTTTCCAGCCTGACCATGTATCCGCTAACATTGCTCGTCGAGGAAGGCGATGACTAGGCATACGTAACACATGTCCTAACCATCTCAGTCTTTGTAACTTCACAACTTCGTCGATTGATTTCCCCTGTTTACCTAGAACTCGACGCCTAACCTCAGTATTGCTCAATTTATCATGCCACTTCACACAAGAGATAGAACCCAGGCACCTCTGATCAAAGACAGCTAATCTTTTCATGTCTTCCACTCTCAGTAGCCAGGTCTCACAACCATAAAGGAGGACGGGGCGGACTGATGAGCAGTACACCCGCCCTTTGGTCGATGGTCTAATATCTCGTCTACGCCAGAGACGGCGTAAACTGGCAAATGTGAAGCGAGCCCCCTGTATCCGTGACGAGAATTCGTCAGAGATTAATCCGTTGGGGCTGACGGTACTTCCCAAATAAGTGAAGCGGCCAACGTGCTCTACCACTTCACTCCCTATTTCTAATCTGGGAGTCGCTGCATCCCAGTCCTGTAACATCATCTTGCATTTGGCGGGAGCGAATCGCATCCCAAACATTCGTAGATTGCGGCTCAAGGTGTTTAGAAGACTCTGAATTTTGTCAGCGTCTTCGCCTAGAAGGAATATACCGTCTGCATATTCCAAGTCAACGAGATTATTCCCTGGTAGCAAGTCAATCCCTAAGTCGCTGAAGTCACTTAGGGTGAAGTCCATTAGTACATCTATGATGAGGTTGAATATAAAAGGGGATAATGGGCATCCTTGACGGACACCACTGGTCGTCACCAGTTCAGATGACTACTCGCCATAAGCCCTCACCTGGCTGTATGAGTACGAGTAGAGTGCCTTAATCAGTGCAATGTATTTTCTCGGCATTCCGTTTATAGCCAAGCATTGCCAGAGAACCTCTCGGTCGATAGAATCGAATTCCGCCTTTAGGTCAAGGAATATAGTGATTGTTGGTAAGAATGTCTATGTTCTAGAGTCTGTCGGAGGGTGAAGATATGATCAATACACCCTCTCCCTGGCCTAAAGCCTGCCTGACTCTCTCGTGTTTGTGCCTCCCGAGCACCACTTAGTCTACGCATGATTACTGAGCCTAGGACTTTAGATACCACTATATTAGTCAAGCTAATCCCTCTGTGATTATCACAGGAAGACTTGTCTCCCTTCTTGTATATGGGGGTGATCAGTGACTTACACCAACCCAATGGGACTTCCTCTGATTTCCAGACGCTGCCTAGAACCTCAGTTAATGCAGACAGTAAACTGTCTCCACCGTACTTAAATACCTCTGGAGTCACTCCATCAGGTCCCGCTGCTTTGCCTTGTTTCAGATTAGTGACAGCTTTAGTAACCTCAGTTAGGGAAGGAGGACCTGTGTCTATATCTCATTCGGGTGTGTGCTGGATGGCGGGGAGGTTCAGTGTGGCTGTAGGCAAGTTAAATTGTCCCTCAAAGTGTTCTTTCCAGCGTTCGAGGCGTCTGTCTTGAGAGCTAATTAAGGAGCCATTTTTCTCAGAAATAGTCTCACTTATGATTTACCTTTTCCGATCCGTTTCCCTGATGAGTCTAAAGAGTTGCCTAGTGTTGCCTATCGCCGATGCTTTTTCCATCTCTTTCGCCTTTGTCACCCACCACTGTTCACGGTCCTTGCGGAGACTTTTCGTAAGTTTCTTTTTGTGCAGCTTTCGCTCCTCATTGAATTCAGAGCTCGCCGGAATAAGTCTCCTAGCATCTGTCAGTTCGGATGAGGCGGTAGAAATCCAATGGTTTTTACTCTCCTTTGGGTTTACTTTATTCACAGCTTTTACAGCTGTATCTATGGCCGCCTGAATATTCTTCCAAGCTTCTTCAGGGTGAGCACAGCTGTCGAACTCAGATATGTGTTTAGCTGGTTCTTCCTCAAATAGGGATTTAGTTTCCTGATCGAGCTGGGGACGTGATGGTTTTACCACCAGCTGTTTCCTACGTCCGTTCAGTCGTAAGCACATCGAGCGCGGACCAGTGCGTGATCGGTATCTACACACGTGTTCCAGAAGGAGCGACAATTTCCTACTGACCCACGCCAACGATAGCTTATTGCTATGTGGTCTATTTGTGTCCAGAGTTGGTTTGATGATGGGGGTCGCCAGGTCAAACAGTGTCTCTCCTTGTGTTTGAAGTTAGTGCTTACTAGAAACAAACGATTATCTGAACAGAACTGTAGGAGACGGTCACCGTTGTCGGTTCGCTGACACGGAACTCCATAGGTGCCACCGACATCCTTCTCAGAGTGACACAATTTCTCTACTTGAGCGTTAAAGTCACCAGCTAGAACGACTATATCTGAGCGTTTAGCCTTTCGCAGCAAACTAGACAGCTTTTCGTAGACCTCATCCTTCGTTTCATCCGAACTGCAGTCAGTGGGGACGTAGGCGGAGGTTACGAAAAGGCATCGGCCAGTAGTGCAGTCCTTTCTCCTTCTTACTGATCCGTTCAGACGGACAGCACACATTCGGCTATCTACCGGGATCCAGTCAAGCAATGTCTTTTCAGCCCCAGTGCTCAGAGCTATCACTACACCAGCTAATACTCGTCAACTAGCTGTGGTATCTCCTGACAACCTCACGAAGAATTTTGCAGATTCATCCTGTTGGCCAGGTGGGGTTAGGTGAATAACCACACTTGGGTCTTGTATGCGTGTTTCTGAAACACAACATACATCAATGGCTCGGGATGCCAGAGTCTTGGCTAGTGATGCTTGTTGTCCTATTTGGCACAGTGTCCTAACACTAAATGCTCCGATATGCAATTGGTGGCGTGGCTTTAGGAGGCTGTCGGTGGTGGTTTTTTGGCTTTCGTCGTTTTTAGTGGACACAGAGTGGATAGGAAGTGAAGAGCTATCAAGCAGAGGAGTTGCATCAGTGGAAGGAAGGCAAGATAGTAGAGGTGAAGGTGAAGACAAAGATGAGTGAGGATTAGAGAGGTTTCGTGTGCATTTCGGATTGTCAGGGCGATTGTTACTTCCCGGCTGCCCACACCGTGGGAGTTGGTTGCGTGACCGCAGAGCCCAGGGGACAACTGCTTGAGGCCGGTCACACGCGGCCTGTTTTTGTTTCTTCTTTATTGTTTGGTGTGTCTCAGTAGCATATTTATCACTCCTGCCCTGTAACACGGCAGCAGGAAGCGCGGTCGTTGTTAATCCGAGCCACGGACGATTCAGCATGAAATTTTGTTTGTATCATAATGGTGGGTTGGGTAGCTGCTTTTTGTTTTAACCGCTATCCAAATAACCTGGCTGGCATGGTAGGACCTCAAGAGACATAAGTCTCAGCCAGTATAGCTTGATTAGGTCATTGTGGTGTTCAAGCCCGACCACCACGTCAAGGTAGCAGCTTTCGGTCGGTGAGGAGCTAATGAGCTTTAATTGGCCTTGCTGAATGATTTTCTTTTTTATGCGTAACTCTGGTTTTTCCAACTAATTGGCTTAGGCTCCAGCAATACAAAGTAGACCAAAGCGTATTGCCTTTGGTAGGTTATTCGTGACTCTGTAGATTTCTTTGCGGGAGGCGTTTGTTGAGATGAAATAATAAGTGTGAACAAGGTGTTCGATGATCGCACTCCTCATAGAGCCACTACTGCCTTTTCGCAAGCATGTGGGATGGTGTTCTTGAATCCTTTTGGACAGGATACGCGTCGAAAGCCCAATGTACCTAGCTGCACAGAAACGGGTGAACTGATATATGCACATATGAGTGGTCAGATGCGAGATCTTGTCCTTAAGGCTTCTTCAGGCTAACAGATGACTGAAGAACACTACTCTCAACGATGTTGCAAAGAATGTTCTTCTCAAAGATGCTGAAATTCTTCTCATAAGGATATCACAAGATGAGTCTCCCTTGAGATCGAGGCTCATATAAAGTTCCTTTTTTCGAACAAGTAATGTTGAGTTCCTCTGGACTTTTGGTCTGATATTCTTGTCAATGAATCTTGGTGGGTTTACATTTTGGATGAAGGTTTCTTTTAGAAGATCCAGTTCTGCTTCTAGGGTGTTAGGACTGCAGATGCATCGGATTCGAGTGGCAAGGGATTTAATTAGATTTCGTTTTCGTTCAACAGGCACCCAACTGTAGAAACTTGTTAGTTGACCGTTCCAATTAGGTTTACTATGGACTGACCTTCTTAAAATTCCGTCATCATAGCAACAACCGCGTTGATTTCTACTGACTTGATGTTTGTGTGCCTGAAGTTCTAACTCCTTATAACTCTTGTATTTCTTCACAACTCTAACATAACTCCATATTTTCCCTCGTTCCTATGTACATCCTAATCAAAACTTATTCATTAAATTGTTCATCTTGTTACGCAGCTACAATACACTTATTTAACTTCCCTTATGCACTGACTAACATTGACAACTATTTTTGACAACCCATCACCACTGTCTTCTCATATTGATCTTCATCCTCATCTCCGTATTCTTTTTAAATATTTTGGTGACATAAACAACAACCCTAACTAATTTGTATTCTTGTTCGACAAAGCTGATGTACACACACACGGACAAACACATACACGTACAAAAGTAATTATATATAATTGCGATGACAGCTAAGTGAATGAATTCGCCAAAAAGAGACTCTTTACTGAACTACGGTGTTTTATTTTTCACTAATATCTGGAAGAGGGATTATTCATGAATTATTAGTTTTTAACGCAGTTTTTCTTTTAAAAATTATTATTTATTAATAGGATTATTGATAGATTAAACTCAAAGATAACTAGAAGCGGTACTCGTTTCCGTTTAGTCATCTATCTGTCTTATGCAACAAGCTTCAAGTCACACTATAAATTTATCTCTCTGGTAGATCCTACTACTTAAACAATTTTTCGAATATGAGACAAACATATGACAGAATATACGTGTTTAGTGAATAATACTTTACAACGCTGAAATCAGATAGAAATGCATTCATTCGGTGGAAAATATACCCACAGGATTGTACTGATAGATATTATTAAAGTTAGAGATGGTTAATTAAAGTGTGATTTTATAGTACTTCTTTCGTGTGGTATTTTGTGTTGGTTAAGCCCCTAAGAATGTTCCTTTCTCTACCTGATCTTTTGTGCTTCTGTTACTGTTAATATGCATACATGCATATTTTTGAAATACAGCAGGATGCTGATTAATTTCTGAATTTATTTATTATTCACAAGGAATTATAGGTTAATTACATCAATGGAAATTCTCAGTCCTCTCTCTCTGATTCTGTCATTATTAATATGGTGGCTCTAATCAGATCTGGTTAAATCAACAAATCAGTTCATTAGATTGCAGAGTTCGCATGTAGGCTTCAGGTGGTGTCTTTAACCATTTTGAATAGTTTTCAAGATGTCAACTATTTGGAATCTGAAAATTGTTTCTATTCAATACTGGAGATTTACGATAGTAGGAGTATCGAGTATACCTGCATAATTGTGAAGTTTCCTGAGAGGTGTTATCAAGAGGATTCAAGCATTAGGTCTGAATACTCAGGCGATAATATCCATACAACCTACACACAGCCCACACGATGTCAGTTGACTTATCACAATATACTGAAGAGAATGGTAGTTAATACATAAAACTGAAACAAAAATAGAGAAGTATTATATTTCAGAATAAAATCTACGAATAAAAAATTTAATCGACTTCTATACAATTTGTCATGAGAATATTTACAAAATAGGTGTAGTTATAGGAGGATAGGTATATATACACATATGTCATGGATACATTTGTACAAAACTGTTACTATTTCTACTACTAGCAGTACCAGCAGTAGTAATATCAAATAGTAGTATTAGGTTGATTCAGTCTTTCAACCGATGCCAAATGCAGAAACAGGTAGCTAGCGACTGGTCGAAATTTATCACGTAATATCCAAATATCATCTAGACGACCACGTGAAGGCTTATCTGATGGATGATTTTGTTTTTTCGCTCGATGTCTGATAGCTAATTGTTTAAGCACTGCACGAAAATGCTGTGCAGTTATAGTAGCAGTTCTGTTTGAAACACTGTTTATAGCGCTTTGTTTTAAACCTTTCTTACAGTCTTCTGAATTATTATTATTATTTAAAATATTTGCAAATCGAACACTCAAGTATTCACTAGTAACACATGGAGAACTACTAAGTATCCGAATAATTTCGGCACAAAGACGTTGCATTGACGGATTTAGCGAAGAATTAACTGATTCCTGATCGGTTGAATTGCATGCATGACTTTCACGAGAAATTTTGCGTAAACGAATAAGACTGAACAATAGCTCTGAACTGAATCTAACATGACATCTAGCTGAATTTTCATAATAACACTTTTCGCTTGTATCTTCCGATTCACCTGACAATTGTAAAAGCTGTATCTAAAAGAAAACGAAATGAACAGTGATGTTAGGAAACTGTTTTGTGCTTCATCATCATCAAAAACAACATATAATTGTATGATAAGCATCATAAGGTTAATAGATCATACTACGATAAATGTAAAGAAATACACTACCACACCTCCCTCACCTACAGTAATGAAGATACTTTTTGTAGACTCCAGATCCAACAAAGGGGTCATAAAGTCTGCAATTTTGGATGAATTTTATACAAAGCAAATTTTTCTCACCGATATTAGACCGATATCAGGGTTATGAGAACATCTGGAATCTCTATTTGTGGAATGATGTTAATAGTAAGAGGTGGGTGATGGTCAGAAAAAGGCTTTGTATGCTTAAAGAATGTGTGTGGACAGTCATTACTTGCCAGTTGCACACAGGTTGGAAGTTAATTGCATCTTGGTTACTGGAGTTGTGTCTTTATCAAGATTTTAGCGTCAGCTATGGGTCGCAAGAACCTAAGTTGCGGTGTGCAATCTCTGGAGTTGACCTTCCATAACTCACTCTTCACAAGGCAAAGGGATAGCTTAGCAAGATGGTTTGGCGGTCATCCAAGAGGAACACCTCACGTGCTACTGTTACATCCCCAATTCCCCATCACTACAACTTCACAAACAAATCGCTGACATAGTGTAAACGAATGACTGTTTTAAGTCTAGCCGCTATCCACGCAATCTTTCTGACATGTTAGGACCTGTGGGAACATTTGTTCTATCTAGTTAGTGCAGCTTGTTGTGTGATTGAGATATGCAAGCCTGACAACCACGTCAAAGTAGCAGCTGTGTGTCGGGTTCTTCCACTTTCAAAGGAAATATTTGGAAGTCATTAGGCAGGATGGAGAGACGGGTATTCTAATCAAACATAATCACAATTTGCTTAGTTTTGGATAGTTTGATATATCGAACATCTCTATTTTGTCAATAAATATATAAAATAATAAAGCAGCATGAACGGGTATTTTTCAACAAGAAAAACTCACATAACTCACACTCGTCGATTCATTTGGATTCCAAAGAAAACGATTTTTAGCCTGACCGAATGGATAAGTAACCTCGTGGAAATTATGTTCAGTATTTTGAGTAGAAGAGGAAGAGAGGTGAAGTTGTTGTCGTTGCCAGCTAATTACTTCTTCTTGTAAAGCTTTAATTGCATTACTGGCTAACCGATTCGCTTCTATTTGATTGAACGATACATCAATATGATTTGGATTTGTCATTTCGTCTAATAATTGATCATGTTGGACTATTTGAGTTATGTGACTTAGGAAAGGTGAACTATTTTGGGATTCGATTTCTTTTAGTTTAGATGATTTATCAGTTGAAGACAGATGATTTGAATGACTTCTTTTCAATGATTCTTTATGATTTACTTTTCTGACGTTTTCTAGTATCACAAACATTAAATAACAAATGCATACATTTAAAATGTATGGGAGTATTTCTAATAGTATATTCAGTTAGGACAAAATATATGTAAAAAAGTTATGAAATAGCTCTGTTAGTCCAACTTCTTTCAAGATATGTAGTTTGAATTTACTAGTCCTACCTATTCAATAGCAAGGATCAGTATTCAATAGTGTAGACGCTAATTCAATTTTGACAAGACCATTGATACACTTGTAGTTGCATGGATGAAATTACTATCTAGTCGATTCGCCAGCCTATTGTTCTGACCATTATTAGCAACAACAACAACACGATACGATACCACCGGAAACGTGACGCAAAAAGATAAGACGAGAAGACATATTGTTGACGTGGAGAGCTGTTAATGTCTCATATCATTAGCGAAAGCGGTTGATATCGCTTGCGTATACATATACTTTAAGTTATGTTGGGAGACGCTAATTACATTGATAAATTAAAACAGTCAACAACTAATAGGACTCTCGACGACTTTGTACATGGTCCGGGGTTCGATTCCCGGCCACCGACGCACTCCTTTACCTCGGTAAGCCAGAAATAATGCTGGTAAAGAGTAAAGGTTGGGCATGAGGCTAGCAACCCTATCCTGTCACAATAAACACTGCTACAGAAACTTTAAGCCTGTAGCTTGAGGCCCTATGTTCCACTGGAGAACGTGAAGGAAAAAACACTGAAAAACTGGATTTATGAACAATCTTGAAAAAAGTGAAGTTTTACAGCTAAGACAAATTCGCAACTATGTTTTCGAATTTGAAATGTAGCATGATGGCATATACCATTGACTGATATGAGTAGTTGACAATCATCACCGATGTTAATTAGTATCAGTTGCTGGGTAGATTGAAGTGGTTTATACACCGGACAGTCGTTTCGTTAGTCGTGTAGCTGCACACATAGATAGTGTGTGTGTGTACACGAGTTATACTCAGACCAGAAGGCTGAATCAATTCAGATCACGTGAACCAGTAACAGACACAATCATATTTATCATTAACACATTGCACAGTTTAAGGTGTGAATTTAAATCAGACTAAATACACAGAATTATCCTAAATTCAATCAGCACAAGATACACAACAAATATGATTTCAGATTTCACAGTTCAACAATTCGAAGGTTTTTTAATATGCTGATGAATTTGTATTAGAAGAACTCAGGGAAACCAATAATACTGTGAAGTTGCATGTGGATTTGTCGTCTAAGCGTGTCTACTAGTACAGCAATGTGTTTATAAAGCAATCCACTTATGTAATCTCAATCTGATGGGGAAAAGCATATATGTATAAAACAAAACTCACCTTTGTTTTTCTCAGTTGATTCTTTAGACTTTGTCCTACTAGATTTATAAAATCTCTGAATGCTTTTCAAGGCTTCATTAGCAATCCGATTCGCTTCTTCACGTATATCTTGATCTACAACTGATCTCTTCTTTGTAAGTGAAGCAGTTAGCATATTGCTGTCTGTTTCATTTCCATACGAAGACGAGGAAGAGGCGCCTGTTAGAACAGTTCTAATAAAATCATCATCTTTTTCCAGACCAGTGGTTATATTTTTATCCAAATTACTAAGTTTATGATCATTTCGAGATATGGATATATCAACGCCATCACCGACATCATATTTACACTGTTTTGCGACAAGTTTAATTCTTTTTCCATCTACTCTCACACCTCTAGTATTATCACTATTACGCTTATAATGTCGACTTGAAGATTTCTGCTTATTCTGTCTATTATTATTGTTATTATCAGGTGAAGTAAATTCAACTGGATCATTTTTATCCAAGCATCCTTCAGATATACGACGGCTTATTTCTTTGGCAAGCTTTCGAAGTTGAATTTTACGCTCATCTTGTGGATTGGTATTCTCAGATGATGAACTACACTTTACACTGTCATCTGTTATTTTCTTTCTTTTTGTACTCTTCATCATGCTGTCTTTCTCCTCTTGATTATCCTCCATTGTTTCGTCTTCATCACCATCATCATCGTCATCGCCATCACTGCTACTCTCTGCTTTATCCAAATCACAATGCTTCTGTTGTGATGATTTATCTTTTTGTTTTTGAGCAAGTCTATCAAATCGATTGGATGATGTTGTTGATGAATAATTATCAGTTACTGTATGTCCCATACCTTCTGATTGTAGATATAAAGTTGTCTCACAATTATCTTGCATATCTGTATCACCTTCAAAGCTTAATAACTCTTGAAGATCATTCGTTTTAAAAAAACGTTGTTGACGTGGATTTTTAAGAATTCGATTAGTAAGAAATTGTTTAAATATTTGTCTAAATAAAGAACAAGTGAAAATGATAAAAACAATTAATAATTAATAAGTGTTTAAGGTTTGTAACCATCAACTTTAACTAATTGAGAATAAGGAATGAGTTCACCTCATTTATTCTGAGATACACTTTTTATCAGTTGCGTTTTAAAAGGCTGTTTTATTTTCTTCTTTAAACTCAATAACCTAGAAAACATTTTCCCTATACAACGTTAAGAGCTACACTTATTGTCTGAGGGCTTATGATATTCCATACACCCGGTTCCTTTTATTAGTTTGACAAAATACAAGATAGAACAACAGAGTAAATTTACACATATTATGGTGGAGACTTCAGGAAGTTGAAAGGGAGGGTAGTAAAGTAAAATTATAAAATAGATCAAATATTCTAATCTACTAGATTTTGAAACTTAATAGTGAGTTCAACTCAGTAAGTAAAAATGATGATACAGTATGATATTATATATTATTTTATTTAAACGCAGGAAAACTTGGTACCATATAGCACCAAGATGTACCGCACAATAATAATAAAACAACAGAGATCAAAAGTAAAAAAATATAAATAGAGAACAGATAAAGAACTTCATCTGACAGGAAAACAGTCACGCTTAACAATTTCAAACAGTATTCGTTAACTATCATCGGGAAGAGAAGAAAGAAAGAAATTGCAACACGTCCGCCATAGATTACGATTCTTGGCCATATCCGATAACGTTTCGAGCCATCGATTCGAGCTATCTCGAGGACCCCAACCAGGGAGTCGTGACGCACCAAACGATGGTAATCTAGTACAAATATCCTTCATCCCATGATACCAGGTAGACGTAACACACCAACCGATGCTAATCTAGCACAAAAATCCTTCATCCCACGACGCCACGTCATGGACTGACCACCTCTCCGCCTTTTCCAACCCGTCCCAGGGCTAGCGAACAGAGACCTGTACGGAAGCCTCTGGGGTGACATTCGGAGCACATGTCCAAGCCACCGGAGCCGGTGTTTCCAGATGACGACATTCAAGGAATAGTGATCTCCACTTTGTTCAAACACACGCCGCCGAACCTCAGAATTACTCACGCGATGATGCCATCGAACGCAAGCAATCCTGCGGAGACAGCGGTGATCGAACACGCAGAGTCGCCGCACATCCTCAGCTCAGAGAGGTCAGGTTTCACAGGCGCAGAGCCAAACAGCTCGCACCAAAGCATTGTATACCCGACCTCTGACGGCCAGACTAACGTCGCGACGGCGCCAGAGGTGGCTCAAGTTGATGTATGCCACCCTAGCCTTCATTATACGGTTGGAAATCTAATTCGTCACCAAACCGCCAGCACTCACACAACTACCCAGGTACACAAACTTATCAACAACTTCAAGCGGTTCACCCGCAACAGTGAGTGCAGGTACAGGCTCCTGCCAATCTTGTAACAGTACTTTGCACTTAGACGGCCCAAAGCACATACCATACTTACAGACACTGATCGCCAACTGATTAAGTGCGATTTCGGCAGCCTGCATGCTATCGCACAGTAAGACGATATCGTCTGCATACTCGAGGTCGGAAAGTCTATCTCCAGGTAGCAGATCTACACCACCTTCACGCACATCCTTCAGAGCTGACTCCAGAATGTCATCGATGGCAAAGTTAAAGAGAAACGGAGAGATTGGGAAACCCTGTCTAACCCCACTGTTGGTTGGGAACAGTGGTGATAGTTGGTTGTATGCCCTCACTCTACTGAGGTGTTTCTGTAAAGGGCTTTCAGGATGTTAACAAATTTATCAGGTACACCTCTCTCTAACAGACAGTTCCAAAGCACAGTTCTGTCGAACGAATCGAAGGCAGCCCTAATATCAAGAAACACAATGATCGTCGGCCTGCAATACGTGTGGCGGTGTTCCAACAACTGACGAAGGGTGAACACATGATCAATGTATCCACGACCTGAACGAAACCCAGCCTGCTCTCTGCGAATCAATCCTTCACGTATTTCACACAGCCTGCGAAGCAAGACAGCAGCCAATATTTTAGACGCAACTGGTAGCAGACTGATACCCCTATGATTGTCACACGAATTACGTCGACCCTTTTTAGAGATGGGGACGATAATTGCTTCGTTCCACATTGATGGTAAACTCTCTATCTCCCATACCTTCCTGAACAACCCAGTTAGAGCTATTGTGAGAGTCTCGCCACCATCTTTAAAAAGAGCCGGGGGTAGATTGTCTGGGCCGGGCGCCTTATGGCGTTCTAATACTTGGAGTTCCCTACAGACCTCCGCTTCGGTGGGTGGGTCGGTACTGGGGCTAATGACAGCAGACACTGAAGCTGGTGGCCAGCCAAACTGTTTCTCGAAGTGCTCTGCCCAGCGTTCCAGGCGTCTTTTCAAGGTGGTACCTGGTGTGCCATCTGCCTCACAGACCGTCTCGCTGACACCTTGTTTCTTGCTACCGGTGGCTCGAATAAGTTGGAACAGCCTCCGACTGTTGCCGGATGCAGCACCTGACTCCATCTCACACGCACGTTCTGACCACCAGGCTCTGTGGCCCTTATGTAAACACTGTCTAATCTTGCGCGTGAGCGCCTTTCGCTGATTGTTGTATTCGCTGCCAGCCGGAATGGACCGGCGTTCATCCATAAGTTGCAAGGAACTCGCAGAAACCCACTGGTTTTTAGCGGGGCATTCTTGTATGTCTTGTATGCATCCTCGCCACCGGAAAGTGACAGCAATATAATCAATCTGAGTCCAAGCTTGCTTCGCAGAGGGAGGACGCCAGGTAGCGCTACGCCGATGGCTGTGCCGAAAGTTGGTGCTAGCTAGAAATAGGTTATGATCCGCGCAAAGCTGCAGAAGACGGTCCCCACTATCTGACCTGCGACCATGTAGTCCCCACTGACCACCTGGACGATTCTCCTCTCACCTTAGACGCCCCACCTGTGCATTCAAGTCCCCAGTCAGCACTATGATATCCCTCCGACCCGCCTGTTTCAAGAGATCGCTCAGTTGGTAGTAAAACTCATCCTTCATTGCATCCGGGCTGCAATCCGTCGGTACATATAGGCAGGGACAACAAATAGACACCGCCCATCTGACCCACTACCCCTTACTTTCGTATAACCTTCCAGCCTCACAGCACATAAACGACTGTTAATGGGAATCCAGTCGAGGAGTGCAGCTTCGGCTCTAGCGCTCAGTGCGACACCGACACCAGCTACAGGGTCCCCGGATAAGCGCAGGTAGTACGTACTACTAGAGCTTTCAGATGAAGAAGATAATCGAAGCACTTCATTGGTATCTTGAATGCGGGTCTCCGAAATACAGCAGACATCGATAGCGAGGCTTTCCAAAGTTCTTGCCAACCCTTCCTGTTATCCGATTTGCATCAGCGTCCGAACATTGTAGGTGGCCAGCTTGAACGCAGCACGCGGTTTCAGGATATCGTGTTAGATGTCACATTGGGGACAACCATTTTGAGGGCTACTCATTAACATCTCGAAACGACACAGATAGGCTGGGAATCCAGACAAAGGCGAAAGGCTGATGAAGGTGAAGAAGTCAAGGTTAGCAAAGGTAAAATACAGGAGTTTATGTATAAAAATAAAAGAAAGGTAGGAAAGACATAAGTTACTTGAGACATCATTATTACTTGAAATTATGGTTACGAGCGCGCGATAAGTTTCAATGAGCCCAGACCGAAGCAAGTGGTTTTCTTAAGGGACCACCTCCCGAGCCTTTGACTTGGAGTCTAATCCACAAGGCAGCGGAGCAGCGTCAGGAGCCGCATTCCCATGGATCCCGGTGACTAATATGGGTACATACGTTATTTGGTCCCATTGGATTGTGGAGCCCATGTACTTCATGGTAACTGCTTTTAGTCTAACTGCTATCCCAACAACCTTCCTGACATGGTAGGACCTGCAGGGACATGAGTCCCAGACAGTTTAGCTTGTTGGGTCACTGTGGTATTCTAGCACGACCACCACAGCAAGGTAGCAGTTGTCGGCCGGGATATTACCCAGTTGAATTAAGTAGACCCACCACATGAAAATCGGGTGTTTAAGCTGACGAGCCATGTCTCTTACACATGTGACATTATTATTATTATTATTATTATTACTACTACTACTACTAATAATAATAATAATAATAGGTCAAATTAAAATATCCCAAATTTTAGAAATACGGATAACTCTGAAAGAAACTTAGAACTGTCCGAAAAGTAATATTGTAAGAAGTTTCTATGGACAGTTTTAGACCAATAATAAAAGGAATGAATATGAGGCTAATGAGCAAAAAAAAGATGAAAGATGGATGCGACGTAATTTCACTGTAATCCCAGTTAAGGCAAACAAGGAGAGGTAAAGCAGATTTGTTAATACGTGTCTTTGAGATAACTGGAAGTTAACCATGAATTATTTTTCAATAAAAAAGACTAAGTTTTCATTTATGACTGAAATGAGATAAAAATAGTCCTACTTCCCTTTTAATCACCGTTAAATACTCTTCCTTTGTCTACTATCACAGAGTACATCCAGAAATGGTGTGGAATTAAGCGTTTGATTAGCAAATGTGATTCATATTAGTAGATTTCGTCAATAATCAACGTGAGTCAGATAACCATTGGAAACTAGAGAGCACAAGACAGCCATTGTATCACAAGTTTGGTACTCTCCGGCAGTATGCACCTAGAAATCGTGCATCAGGGGTTGAAAAGCAGGAACTCAGGATTACAAGATGAGAACATCAGCCATTCAGTCACTGAATCGGAATTCATTAGCTCATGTATTCCAACATATGTTCTTTCCTATATTTAAATTTTCAACTTTGGCGACAATACCTAGTGTACAAGAACTTATTTTCATAACTCAGTATTATAAGTCTCTCAGAGGTGTACAACTATGCATACTGTATTTGAATCTCAGTAAGAAAATTGATACCAACTGAGCGGCAACTACAACCAGACGATGAATTTCAAACTGAATAAATTGAACTCCATTATAAATAAGATTTTATTTTGATAAATCACACAGTGTTGTACAGTTATATGATCAGTTCTCATATAACTGTACTTCGAATCGCTGCACATCTGTGCAAAATTCTACGTTGAAACCAATCAGTCAGTCATTGAAATACATGAAATATTTTCAAATAAAAGGATACCTCTGATAAATTTTCTCTTCAATAGTTCCACTAGTCAATAAACGGTAAACAATAACATCACGTAATTGTCCAATACGCCAGGCTCTTTCACGTGCTTGTAAATCTGTAGTTGGATTCCAATCAGGATCATAGATAAGTACACGATTAGCTGAAGTTAAATTTACTCCCAGACCACCAACACGTGTAGTTAACAAAAATACAAATATATCACAAGGATCTGATGTTGTATGTTCAGTATTATTTGTTGAACGATAGTTGAAACGTCGAATAAGTTCATGACGTTGACTAATAGGTGTTGTTCCATCCATTCTAAGATATGATAATTTCATCAACTGTACTAAACGTTCAAGTAATGTAAGCATCTAATAAATAATAATAAATTTAAAAGAATGAAATACTTGAGTAGATAAACTTTATAAAATAATGAATCATTTCAAATTTATCAAAATAATATAACAGCTACAGAAAGAGATTACAGTAAAAAAAGAAAGGCTATAATGAAAAGCAGAAAACACATTCAAGTGTTTTACAATACAGAGTAAATACATTTTTGTCCCTGAGTAATGATTGTAGACACTCTCTATCATTAATGTTATTATGGTATTGACTCTCGTAAGGCTGAGAGTGGGTAAACTTTCTTGTTCCGCTCAAAATTTTTGCATATGGCTATATGATCAAAGCCTCTGCTAGGTAAGTCCCATTCACTGACCTCATATATTCTTGTAAAAGTGAAAGACTACAAGAGAAAGATCCGGCGATTGAACTAGTGGACACGTAGGTCAATCTAGGGACGCTGGAAAGACCTGGTCCCAAATCTATGATGCCAGTAGGCTTCAGAATCCAAAAAGAAAGAATGGGTTACGAACATGTTTTGGTAACCAGAAATCACCGTTACACAGGCAAGCAGATCAGACTTTAAGACAAGGAGGTGGTATCGTGGGACAACCATATGCTTAGGTTTTGTTGTTCAGACACCTTCTCAGATTAATCCCCATACAGAAACACCTCAGGTAGAGGGACGGCATACAACCAGCGATCACTGTTATTCTCGACCAGTACGGTTGCACACTCTCACCAGTTCCTTCAGACTTTGCTACCGATGACATTCTGGAAACAGCTCCAAAGGATGTGTTGTGCTGTTGTATATCTGAAGCACTAGGAAACACTTTTTGACGGAGTATGCGGATGATATCGTCTTACTAGACGATAACATGCAAGCTGTCCAAATCACATTTAGAAAGTTGACAATCAATGTCTGTATGACATGTGTTTTGGGAGGAGACTATGACTGGACTCACCCTTGAAGGTCAACCATTAGAAATGGTTGGTAGGTTCGTGTATCGAGGTAGTTGTATGAGTGTTGGCAAACGTGTGGTCAAATTTCTGCCTATATTGTGAAACCCAACCTGGAACACCTTGGTGCGGTCACGACTCACGGTCTTGTTTTACGCCTACGAAACCTTGTCTCTCCAAGCCGAAGGTGTGCGACAACTCTGTGTATTCAATCATCGCTACTTCTGCTGAGTTGCCCGCACCCGATGGTATCATCATGTTATTCATTCTGAGGTCCAGCAGTGTGTGAAAGTCATCATTTAATAAGTGTTGTCATCTTGAAAATCAGCTTTAATCGATAGAAAGTGTACCATGAATGTCATCCCGGTGACTTCACAGCATTTACTATTTGCTAGCTGTGGAACAAGCTGGGAAAAGCGGATGGGTGGTTAGACCATGACATGGATGTGAAGCATCACAAGCATCTGGATGAAGCACGGGAGATAATTCGAGTCGGTTTTCATGTATGGCAGGCAGTCATAATAAATAACGGCGAACACACTGCAGTCTGTTCCTTTCTTCTCTTTCTGAAAATAACATGTAGTAGTGAACCATCCATTAGATTCGCTTGATAACTATACTTACTTGTTTTCTTGATGATGTAGCCCATTTATTCAATTCTATTTTATTATACTGTTGTTTTGTTATATTTGTGTGGAGCATCTCTTGCTGCCAATATTGCACCAAGTTTGTGTTTAAATAAAAAATAATGCTCTACAGTCCCTGCCAGAACTATCTGAAACACCAAAGAGCCATCTCGCTTGTTTGAGACCAAACTTATCAGCTGTGTTACCTACAGTTAAACTCAGCTCAGACAGCTGAAACAGTTCAAACAGTTTACACATATATTAACAGCTCAAATCACCCTTGAACTGTATAATCTACAAATGACGACATTAACTCAGATAATAGCTACATGCACATGATTTTGAAAGAAAAACAGTCATTTAAACTCTATTCAAAATACACATAATATTTATCATAGGACTTGTTATTTATTTGTAAATCATTGGGTCAAGTTAAATTTTAAGCACCAGTAAGTGCCAGTGGAGTGCGGTCGCACTGATGACCTTAAAACACTCAGCGAGCGAGTTGATGAAACCTGGTAAATAATACTGGGTGAAGTTAAACTATCACATCCAAAGCCAAGTTCTTCCAAAAGTTGACCTTCAAGAACCAGTCAGATATTTTTTTAAATATAGCTTAACTCCACACCGTATATTTGGTACAAGTATGGAATTTTCAGCATGTGATATCGGTAGCCAAAATTTTGCAGGCCGACAACTGATATCCGGTGTGCTTTGGCAGGGAATCAAAACCCGGACCATGTACATGGTCCGCGAGAGTCCTAACCGCTGAGCCACCAGAGAATGCTATAAAATGTCATTCCAAATCAAATCATGTCTGCCTTTTTGGAGAAGGTAGATACAGTATTCCACTTATTCTCTAGGTACTCCTTCTACAAATATATACTGTTAGGTAGGGCTATGGCATTTTAGACTAAGGTGTAGGGTCTAGGGTTAAACTTACGATTAGGAGTAGGTTTAAGAACTATGTCAGAAATATCAATAGATCTCAAAGTACGATGACCTACAGTCACTTGGATGAATGCATCTATCGCGCATGGTACGATTTATTTATAGATCATCTGTGTGGTGACTGGGAAACATTCTTACAACACAAACGACAACTATATAGCACAATATCATGTCTGCAATGTTTTTAGTGCATTTTTTCAAAGATTATCTGACTTTTTGCATTTGAATTATAATTGGTTATCGAAGGCTATCCTGCGTAACAGTTTCATGCCTTTTTAATTCATTATTATCGTGCATACATGTATTTTATACGCAAAACTCGCCTCTATCATATGGTTGATAGGTTTCAGGTCATTCGTTCGTTGGTGCTTGCTGGTGTTCACCGTTTAACTTTGCCCATCATTGAATAAAAGAGAAACGAATCAAAAACAGAGGCAAAACGTTGTAAAGAGATATGTTTTTTATAAAAAGAAAAAAGAGAACGTGAAACCATTGACTTACCCTACGACTTTGTGAAAATAGTAAAACTTTGTGTCCTTGATCAAACCAATTCTTAAGAAGTGAAGCAACCACTAACATTTTACTAGATCGACGTGGACAACCAAATCTCGACCATGAATAAGATAAGCAGACATTTTCAATGCCTTGTTTATCAACTTCATATTCTTCATTTAAAAAACAACTATCTCTCGGTCCACCTGTAGCCAAATCTGGATGATTGCATAGATTTCGCAATAGGATTAAAGACGGAAAAATCTAGAGAAACAAAAGAGAAATCTAGAAATGCAATAACTATTCAGTATTTAGCTAGAGCTATGTGCACAGGACAAAGGAATAAGAGTTGGCTTTCAAAACAGAGATAACAACACCATTTAATTATGAATAACTCAACTTAAAACTTACATTGCCTTTACCATTTAACAGATCTTTACATGTTTGTGATTCCAAATATTCGCGATAAAGTTTCCGTTGATATTCCGTTAGTCGACAAAATAAAACCTGTAAACGATAAATTTACATATCATGACATACATATATATATACATGGTGTGTACTATTGATGAGAATGTTAAAATGACCGCTATTCTACAACCTATTTGTCATAAATTTCAATAAGACAATAATTCTACTAGATAAACTACTAAGTCCTGATGAATTTCTACGGACAGTGGATGCATCTGACTGACTAGCACGTGATTCTGAAGCTTCGAATACTTGGGAGACTCTATAATATGTCCACCGACGCATGTGCTTATGAAATCGATGTAATTATGAAAAATAAACTTTAGCTATAAAGGCAAGTGTAGACTGCCTGGTCTCTGTGGACGAGTTGCTAAGAATTAATATCTAGAGGACTTTTAGTGATATGATGGCGCAGATTAAAGCCTAATTATTCTCCACATGATTAATTTTTTATCCCGTATATTTGCGAGATTGTATTGCTTTCATCTCTTTTCTGTGCATATGTATATCTTTATAAAGTGTGATGAATTGAACTGTTCCACTTTAGTGGAAAGTTCTACACTTATACATTTATACTTATATCAAAGTTCTACACTGTTGGAAATTCAGTTCAGTCCATACACTAGTCTTCTTCAATTTCAGAAGTCAGTAATCTTACAACTACGATGCCAAGCGATAACTGACGGAACGGAGACAAACCAGTGACTAATATCTTTAATGAAGATATATTTAAAGAAATAACTTATGAATATGGATGGGTTAATTTTCAACTACTTTATCAATAAAAAATGCAATAAATCTTTGACTACAGTCATAGGTCTATTATTAGGCTTTTTGATTTAATAACCTTTGGCTTTTAATACAATTAGCAATTTGTTAAGTACACAGTTTAGAGTGCTATTTCTTTAGAAACCCAAAAATATTTAGATCACAACCCCTGTAAACTGTTTGTAAATGATACAAAGAAAGCAAGTTAAGTGTGCTGCCCTCTAGTTTCAATGGATAATGCTTTCTAATTATACTAACTTGATTCTAAGGGCGAATTATCTTTTGCTTCACTTGTAATTTGCATAGTACTGATTGGATAACATATTTAACTGTAGATAATTCATGAACACATATCATTTATAATTTAATGCAAAGACATTACTGACCAATATGATTATATTAAAGGAAGAGAGATGATTTACACCTATGTTCAACTTCCCGGCCGATAACTGCTACCTTGTCGTGGTGGTCGGGCTTGAATACCGCAATGGCCCAACAAGCTGAACTGACTGGGACCCTGTCTCCACAGGTCCTACCATGTCAGGAAGGTTTTCTGGATAGCGGTTAAACTAAAAGCAGTTACCATGGGGTACATGGGCTCCAGTTTCCAATCGGATCAAATGGCGTATGAACCCACATGGGTCACCGGCAACCATGGGAATGCAGCTCCTGACGCTGCTCCGCTGCCTTGCGGATTAGACTCCAAGTCAAAGGCTCGGGGGTGGTCCCTTAATAAAGCCACCTGCTTCGGTCTGGGCGCCCGGGCAGTATCTCAGCCCGCACACAATGAATGAATCAAAGCAACGAACTCCCATTGAAACTCAACGCGCTAATTAAAATGATTCCAAGCAATATTGATCCCTCAAGGAACTTATTTCCTTCCTACCCTACTTTTATTTTTATACATAGTTTCCTGTATTGTACCTTTTCTAACCTTGGCTTCTTAACCTTCGACAGCCTTTCGCCTTTGTCGACATTCCCAGCCTATCCGTGTCGTTTCGAGATGTTAGTGAGTAGTCCTCAAAATGGTTGTTCCCAATGTGACATCTAACACGGATATCCTGAAACCGCGTCTGTCTGTCTGTCTGTTTTCGACATAGAACTTTGCACAAATGTGCGGAAGTTCAAGTCGCCACATTCCGTGTAGCACGCGAAGCAAGAGAAGAAAGTACAAGAAAAGCATAATAGAAACAGTGAGCAGAGGTGTGAGACAAAGGAGTAATAAAGAAATACAAAACAATTTCATTGAAGATCATAAGTCACAGGGAGTGGATGCATCTGCGCCACTGAGAACGATTTTGAGCCATGTCACCAATTGTTTCCAACCATAGATTTTTGCCGTCCCGAGGACCCCAGCCTGGAAGTCTACACCTTCCTACGTGGCTAAGACCAACTGTTGTGGATTTCATTGACTGATGCCAAGTTTTTGTTTGACCGCCGCTAGCTTTTTTCCAGCCTGACCATGTATCCGCTAACATTGCTCGTCGAGGGAGGCGATGACTTGGCATACGTAACACATGTCCTAACCATCTCAGTCGATGTAGCTTCACGACTTCGTCGATTGATTTCTCCTGTTTACCTAAAACTCTACGCCTAACCTCCATGTTGCTCACCTTATTATGCCACTTTACACGGGAAATAGAACGCAGGCACCCATGATCAAAGGCAGCTAGTCTTTTCATGTCTTCCACTCTCAGTGGCCAGGTCTCACAACCATAAAGGAGGACGGAGCGGACTGATGAGCAGTACACCCGCCCTTTGGTCGATATTCGAACATCTCGTCTACGCCAGAGTCGGCGTAAACTAACAAATGCGAAACGAGCCCCTTGTATTCGTGCTGAGATTTCGTCAGAGATCAGCCCGTTGGGGCTGATGGTACTTCCCAAATAAGTGAAGCGGTCAACGTGCTCTACCACTTCACTTCCTATTTTTAAACTAGGCGTCGATGTAGTCCAGTCCTGTAACATCATCTTGCATTTCACGGCGGGAGCGAATCGCATCCCAAACATTCGTAGATTGCTGTTCAAGGTGTTTAGAAGACTCTGCATTTTGTCAGCGTCTTCGCCTAGAAGGACTATATCGTCTGCATATTCCAAGTCAACGAGATTATTCCCCGGTAGCAAGTCAATCCCTGAGTCGCTGAAGTTACCTAGGGTTAAGTCCATTAACACATCTATGATGAAGTTGAATAGAAAAGGAGATAATGGGCATCCTTGACGGACACCACTGGTCGTCATCAGTTCAGATGACAGCTCGCCGTAAGCCCTCACCTGGCTGTATGAGTACGAAACCGCGTGCTGCGTTCAAGCTGGCCACCTACAATGTTCGGACGCTGATGCAAATCGGACAACAGGAAGGGTTGGCAAGAACTTTGGAAAGCCTCGCTATCGATGTCTGCTGCATTTCGGAGACCCGCATTCAAGATCCCAGTGAAGTGCTTCGACTATCCTCTCCATCTGGAAGTTCTAGTAGTATGTACCACCTGCGCTTATCCGGGGACCCTGTGGCGTCGGCATCCGGCGTAGCTGGTGTCGGTGTCGCACTGAGCGCTAGAGCCGAAGCTGCACTGCTCGACTGGATTCCCATTAACAGTCGTTTATGTGCTGTGAGGCTGGAAGGTTATACGAAAGTAAGGGTAGTAGGCCAGATAGGCGGTGTCTATTTGTTGTCTCTGCCTATGCACCGACGGATTGCAGCCCGGATGCAATGAAGGATGAGTTTTACTACCAACTGAGCGATCTCTTGAAACAGGCGGGTCGGAGGGATATCGTAGTGCTGGCTGGGGACTTGAATGCACAGGTGGGGCGTCTAAGCTCAGAGGAGAATCGTCTAGGTGGTCAGTGGGGACTACATGGTCGCAGGTCAGATAATGGGGACCGTCTTCTGCAGCTTTGCGCGGATCACAACCTATTTCTAGCTAGCACCAACTTCCGGCACAGCCATCGCCGTAGCGCTACCTGGCGTCCTCCCTCTGCGAAGCAAGCTTGGACTCAGATTGATCATATCGCGGTCAGTTTCCGGTGGCGGGGATGCATACAAGACTGTCGCTCCTTCTGGAGCACATGCCTGGACTCCGATCATGCGTTAGTGTGTGCCAAGTTCGTCTTGCGATTTGGTGGGGTTCGTAAAAGCCGTCGTCTAAGCGTTGATGTGAGCAAACTAGTAGCACCTGCTACTTCTTTGAAATATCAGAATGAGTTAAAAACAATGCTTGCCAGCAACCCCCCAAGTAGTATAGATGAACATTGGCTTCATGTGCAAGGTGCCATGCAAAAGGCGAGTGTAGCCGCTTGCGGCTTGAAAGAATGCTCCGCTAACAACCACTGGGTTTCTGCGAGTTCCTTGCAACTCATGGATGAACGCCGGTCCATTCCGGCTGGCAGCGAATACAACAATCAGCGAAAGGCGCTCACGCGCAAGATTAGACAGTGTTTACGTAAGGACCGCGAAGCCTGGTGGTCAGAACGTGCGTGTGAGATGGAGTCAGCTGCTGCATCTGGCAACAGTCGGAAGCTGTTCCAACTCATACGAGCCACCGGCAGCAAGAAACAAGGTGTCAGCGAGACGGTCTGTGAGGCAGATGGCACTCCAATTACCAGCCTGAAAAGACGCCTGGAACGCTGGGCAGAGCACTTCGGGAAGCAGTTCAGCTGGCCACCAGCTTCAGTGTCTACTATCATTAGCCCGAGTGCTCCTTGGTCGGTTAGTACCGACCCACCCACCGAAGCGGAGGTCCGTAAGGAACTCCAAGTTCTGAAACGCCATAAGGCGCCCGGCCCAGACAAATTACCCCCGGCTCTTTTTAAAGATGGTGGCGAGACTCTCACAATGGCTCTAACTGGGTTGTTCAGGAAGGTGTGGGAGACAGAGAGTGTACCATCAATGTGGAACGAAGCCATTATCGTCCCCATCTTTAAAAAGGGTCGACGTAATTCGTGTGACAATCATAGGGGTATCAGTCTGTTACCAGTCGCGTCTAAAATATTGGCTGCTGTCTTGCTTCGCAGACTGTGCAAAATACGTGAAGGATTGATTCGCGAAGAGCAGGCTGGGTTTCGTTCAGGTCGTGGATGCATTGATCAGGTGTTCACCCTTCGTCAGTTGTTGGAACACCGCCACACGTATTGCAGGCCAACGATCGTTGTGTTTCTTGATATTAGGGCTGCCTTCGATTCGTTGGACAGAACTGTGCTCTGGAACTGTCTGTTAGAGAGAGGTGTACCTGAGAAATTTGTTAACATCCTGAAAGCCCTATACAGAAACACCTCAGGTAGAGTGAGGGCATACAACCAACTATCACCACTGTTCCCAACCAACAGTGGGGTTAGACAGGGTTGCCCAATCTCTCCGTTTCTCTTTAACTTTGCCATCGATGACATTCTGGAGTCAGCTCTGAAGGATGTGCGTGAAGGTGGTGTAGATCTGCTACCTGGAGATAGACTTTTCGACCTCGAGTATGCAGACGATATCGTCTTACTGTGCGATAGCATGCAGGCTGCCCAAATCGCACTTAATCAGTTGGCGATCAGTGTCTGTAAGTATGGTATGTGCTTTGCGCCGTCTAAGTGCAAAGTACTGTTACAAGATTGGCAGGAGCCTGTACCTGCACTCACTCTTGCGGGTGAACCGCTTGAAGTTGTTGATAAGTTTGTGTACCTGGGTAGTTGTGTGAGTGCTGGCGGAGGGGTGACGGATGAGATTTCCAACCGTATAATGAAGGCTAGGGTGGCATACATCAACTTGAGCCACCTCTGGCGCCGTCGCGACGTTAGCCTGGCTGTCAAAGGTCGGGTATACAATGCTTCGGTGCGAGCTGTCCTGCTCTACGCCTGTGAAACCTGGCCTCTCCGAGCTGAGGATGTGCGGCGACTCTGCGTGTTCGATCACCGCTGTCTCCGCAGGATTGCTTGCGTTCGATGGCATCATCGCGTGAGTAATTCTGAGGTTCGGCGGCGTGTGTTTGAACAAAGTGGAGATCACTATTCCTTGAATGTCGTCATCTGGAAACACCGGCTCCGGTGGCTTGGACATGTGCTCCGAATGTCACCCCAGAGGCTTCCGTACAGGTCTCTGTTCGCTAGCCCTGGGACGGGATGGAAAAGGCGGAGAGGTGGTCAGTCCATGACGTGGCGTCGTGGGATGAAGGATTTTTGTGCTAGATTAGCATCGGTTGGTGTGTCACGACTCCCTGGTTGGGGTCCGAGAGATAGCTCAAATCGATGGCTCGAAACGTTATCGGATATGGCCAAGAATCGTAATCAGTGGCGAATGTGTTGTGATTTCCTTCTTTCTTCCCTTCTCGATGATAGCTAACGAACACTGTTTGAACTTGTTAAGCATGACTGTTTTCCTTCCAGATGAAGTTCTTTATCCGTTCTCTACTTATATATATTTTTTCTTTTCCTTCCTTCCTTTTTTTTTGATCTATGTTGTTTTATTATTATTGTGTGGCGCATCTTTCTTGGTGCCATATTGTACCAAGTTTTTTTATGCGTTTAAATAAATAAATAAATAATAAATATGTTCAACTTACTTGTTCAGATTTAGACGGCAGTTGTATTTGTACATCAGCTTTGAGTCGGCGAATAAGGTATGGCTTTAAAAGATCGCGTAGGGTACATGCACATTGATATGCTGTTTCAACCTTTAGGTGAAAAAACAATCAACAATAAATGATAGGGAGGAAACAGATTTTCGAATTATCTCCCAACTTATTGACCTTTAAGATGTTTAACAACAATAAAGTAAAGTCAGACTATTAGTAAACTAGACGCAAAAATTATCATTTTTTGATACATAGACAAATTTATACATCCGCATGGTAGGTTAATTTTATCGCTTATGAAATTCGGTAACTATAATCTTAGATTGTGAATATTTTAGTAATTTCTTTGCTTTTATATGGTTGAGTTTTAATAACAGAGCTTTCAACTTTGTCACTCCTCGTGAATCAACACCTTAGAAATGGATATAATAATGTCGGAAGTCATCTCTAGATCAAAACCAGTGGTCAAAAGAAAGAAACTATCAGAATGAATGAAAAGGAATAAACTAAGACGGTGACGAAACACTATTGAGATGATGTGATGGCTAACTGGTCGAGTAGTATAGGTATTTTTTAATGAAAGAAAATTGGAACTTACATACACAGGGTGCAACCAACATAGACGCAATAAAGAAATACTCATTCAACAACAAGCAGCCAGCCAAAGCTACTACTATTACGACTTTAAATTATATATATATATATATATATATATATATATATATATATATATCATTCCTTTGCGTCTCGGGTGGAGCACAGTGTAACAGCAGAAGGCAAGACACGGAAGCAAACGTGTATTTTCAATTGATCACACCGCTGTTTATATCTATACAATTTATATTTTTTAAACAATCATTGAGCGTGTGATCTTGATTTACATTAAACGACATGAAATAGATTGTTCAAATACATATATAGTATTGTGTTGCTAATGATGTATTGCTGTATTGAGCTGTGGGAATATGTGAGAATAATATTTCGTTGGAACACACTGTCTGTATCACACCATCACAATAGGGTTTCATACTCGAGCTTTGAAGTTTCAGTAGCGGTGGTGATGCTTTCACGAAGTGGGGTCGCTAGCTTCACGCCCAACCTTCCCTTTTTACTGAACTTCCTACTGGCTAAGCTAGGTTTAAGAGTGCAACGGTTGGGATTCGAACCCAGACTACATGCGTGGTTGGCAATCATGGCACCACTGAACCACAGACGCACATATTCGTATTTATGAACAAAATTTTTATGAAGAAAAACTATTACCATTACAACAACTTACTTGAAGTGGTGAGGCAGTAGCATAACCTCCCTGAGTAATCGGTATAGAAAATTGTTGCATAAATTCCGGTAGTGGTCCCAAGCGTCCCGGGCATACAAAATCGAAAATTGACCATAACTCGCGTAAATTATTTTGAATAGGACTACCAGAAAGAATTAGTCGATGCGGAGTTGAGAACTAAAACAATCATTTTTTTAAAATTACAATGAAAAAAGGTGAATAATTGAGACACCTACATGTTTTACAGCCAATGTGGCTTCAGCTTCTGGATTCTTTATTTTATGGCCTTCATCTAAAATAATATATGACCAATTTCGACTTGTCAGTACATCGCGATAGGTTACCAGAGTAGCATAGGTGGTTAGTAATACACTTCCTGGATTATTGGATATTGTTTGTATAAGTTTATTCTAAACAATTGTAATGAATACAAGAATAAACACTTAAGCAAGATGAACTGAAAAAAAAGAGAAAACCAACAAGATTTGTTAAAAAAGAAAAGAAATAATAATTCACTACTTACCGGTTTTCCGTAACCTGATCCAGTAGAATGTAATATAGCAACACGAATAGGTGGCCACCATGAATGAAATTCTGACATCCATTGTTTCAGTACTGTAGCTGGACAAACAATCAGACATGGACCTAATCCAACGAAACTAATAAAATAAAAATTGTAAGTCAATGAATATATACAGAAAGTACAGAAAAAGTTCGTTCAACCCCTCCAACTTTCATGGTCTTAATCCCTGTATGCTAAAGTATGGTAATCCCCAATCACATTTTAGCTCTACCAATTTTTCATTTTGTCTTTTCGATTTGTAGTCTCTTCCTTATTACGTCAATTGTTACTATTACTATTTTCACTCTGAACTGTCCCCGGTATTATTTCACTTGTTCCACTTGTCCTTCTAAATCAATTCTTTTTAACAACGTTAAATTCCATGCTATCAAATTTCACACAATATTGCGTAACGTTTTTATTTTATTCGATTTGTCTACTAATCCTATAATTACTCATTCTTTTCAAGTTCTATCCATCCTATGAATATATATATATATATTCGTTATTTATTTTGAGCATATAAATCAGAGATACGTAAATTTATGCATATACCTGTACAAAAAATACTTTCCCTTGTGTTTGTACATACCAATTTTGCGTGAAAATAGCAATAGCAACAACAACAACAACAACAGAATGGTGATCAAAGTGTTAACAAAGCACTTGATCATTGAATAAAACTAGTTTAAGGGAATAGAGAATAATTCAAAGATGAATGCACTAGGAAAAACAAAGAAAAAATAACAAACAGTAATACACATGTCTACGTTAGCCTAGGCACTCTACCACAATAATTTTAAGGTGATTACTACTACTACTACTACCTCTTATACGCCCACACGTAGACTAGGTTTACGAATGTCAATGACTAAGACTCCACGATTACTTGTCTACTTTTTTTTCGTTGTCTATTGATAATACAGAAAGTTTCAATGATGGTATTGTCGTCTGCACTAAGGTGCTGCCGCGAAATCCGTTCGAATTAGTAAGTGAAGCTTGGTGTGTTGAGAAGAATTAGTGTCATACCTTCCCCTGGATTGTCCCATTTGGTAATGCTAGAAAGAAATACGAAATTCGGCTTTGTTGTAAGCTCTCTGTATAGACCAGTTCAACAGAAATAATCTCCTTTAAAAGATAAGTGAGTAAATACTAGTTTCCAGAGGTTATATAGAATGGTGTTATGTATTTGAGAAATACTTGTAAAAATGAAGTCTACAGAGTAACCATATTTCATCTGAATATCTTTCAGTGCTTTTACTTTTTAACCTATTGTTTTGTTACAGCAAATGTTTCTAGCTCTGTCATACAGATCATATTACGTGTGCATTAATGTACTCATTTAATGCGTAACAGTGTATAAAGTAGTCTGTCTGTCTGTTTTCGACATAGAACTTTGCACAAATGTGCGGCAGTTCAAGTCGCCGCATTCCATGTAGCACACAAAGCAAGAGAAGAAAGTACAGGAAAAGTATAATAGAGACAGTAAACAGAGGTGTGAGACAAAGGAATAGTAGTAACGAAGAACAATATAGTTTGATTGGAAATCATCAGTCACAAGGAGTGGATGCATCTGCGCCACTGAGAATGATTTTGAGTCATGTCACCAATTGTTTCCAACCATTTGTTTTTACCGTCCCGAGGACCCCAACCTGGAAGTTTACACCTTCCTACATGGCTTAGACTAACTGTTGTATATTTCATTGACTGGTGCCAAGTTTTTGTTTGACCGCCACTAGCTCTTTTCCAGCCTGACCATGTATCCGCTAACATTGCTCGTCGAGGAAGGCGATGACTAGGTATACGTAACACATGTCCTAACCATCTCAGTCTTTGTAACTTCACAACTTCGTCGATTGATTTCCCCTGTTTACCTAGAACTCGACGCCTAACCTCAGTATTGCTCAATTTATTATGCCACTTCACACAAGAGATAGAACCCAGGCACCTCTGATCAAAGACAGCTAATCTTTTCATGTCTTCCACTCTCAGTAGCCAGGTCTCACAACCATAAAGGAGGACGGGCGGACTGATGAGCAGTACACCCGCCCTTTGGTCGATGGTCTAATATCTCGTCTACGCCAGAGACGGCGTAAACTGGCAAATGTGAAGCGAGCCCCCTGTATCCGTGACGAGAATTCGTCAGAGATTAATCCGTTGGGGCTGACGGTACTTCCCAAATAAGTGAAGCGGTCAACGTGCTCTACCACTTCACTCCCTATTTCTAATCTGGGAGTCGCTGCATCCCAGTCCTGTAACATCATCTTGCATTTGGCGGGAGCGAATCGCATCCCAAACATTCGTAGATTGCGGCTCAAGGTGTTTAGAAGACTCTGAATTTTGTCAGCGTCTTCGCCTAGAAGGAATATACCGTCTGCATATTCCAAGTCAACGAGATTATTCCCTGGTAGCAAGTCAATCCCTGAGTCGCTGAAGTCACTTAGGGTGAAGTCCATTAGTACATCTATGATGAGGTTGAATATAAAAGGGGATAATGGGCATCCTTGACGGACACCACTGGTCGTCACCAGTTCAGATGACTACTCGCCATAAGCCCTCACCTGGCTGTATGAGTACGAGTAGAGTGCCTTAATCAGTGCAATGTATTTTCTCGGCATTCCGTTTATAGCCAAGCATTGCCAGAGAACCTCTCGGTCGATAGAATCGAATTCCGCCTTTAGGTCAAGGAATATAGTGATTGTTGGTAAGAATGTCTATGTTCTAGAGTCTGTCGGAGGGTGAAGATATGATCAATACACCCTCTCCCTGGCCTAAAGCCTGCCTGACTCTCTCGTGTTTGTGCCTCCCGAGCACCACTTAGTCTACGCATGATTACTGAGCCTAGGACTTTAGATACCACTATATTAGTCAAGCTAATCCCTCTGTGATTATCACAGGAAGACTTGTCTCCCTTCTTGTATATGGGGGTGATCAGTGACTTACACCAACCCAATGGGACTTCCTCTGATTTCCAGACGCTGCCTAGAACCTCAGTTAATGCAGACAGTAAACTGTCTCCACCGTACTTAAATACCTCTGGAGTCACTCCATCAGGTCCCGCTGCTTTGCCTTGTTTCAGATTAGTGACAGCTTTAGTAACCTCAGTTAGGGAAGGAGGACCTGTGTCTATATCTCATTCGGGTGTGTGCTGGATGGCGGGGAGGTTCAGTGTGGCTGTAGGCAAGTTAAATTGTCCCTCAAAGTGTTCTTTCCAGCGTTCGAGGCGTCTGTCTTGAGAGCTAATTAAGGAGCCATTTTTCTCAGAAATAGTCTCACTTATGATTTACCTTTTCCGATCCGTTTCCCTGATGAGTCTAAAGAGTTGCCTAGTGTTGCCTATCGCCGATGCTTTTTCCATCTCTTTCGCCTTTGTCACCCACCACTGTTCACGGTCCTTGCGGAGACTTTTCGTAAGTTTCCTTTTGTGCAGCTTTCGCTCCTCATTGAATTCGGAGCTCGCCGGAATAAGTCTTCTAGCATCTGTCAGTTCGGATGAGGCGGTAGAAATCCAATGGTTTTTACTCACCTTTGGGTTTACTTTATTCACAGCTTTTACAGCTGTATCTATGGCCGCCTGAATATTCTTCCAAGCTTCTTCAGGGTGAGCACAGCTGTCGAACTCAGATATGCGTTTAGCTAGTTCTTCCTCAAATAGGGATTTAGTTTCCTGATCGAGCTGGGGACGTGATGGTTTTACCACCAGCTGTTTCCTACGTCCGTTCAGTCGTAAGCACACCGAGCGCGGACCAGTGCGTGATCGGTATCTACACACGTGTTCCAGAAGGAGCGACAATCTCCTACTGACCCACGCCAACGATAGCTTATTGCTATGTGGTCTATTTGTGTCCAGAGTTGGTTTGATGATGGGGGTCGCCAGGTCAAACAGTGTCTCTCCTTGTGTTTGAAGTTAGTGCTTACAAGAAACAAACGATTATCTGAACAGAACTGTAGGAGACGGTCACCGTTGTCGGTTCGCTGACACGGAACTCCATAGGTGCCACCGACATCCTTCTCAGATTGACACAATTTCTCTACTTGAGCGTTAAAGTCACCAGCTAGAACGACTATATCTGAGCGTTTAGCCTTTCGCAGCAAACTAGACAGCTTTTCGTAGACCTCATCCTTCGTTTCATCCGAACTGCAGTCAGTGGGGACGTAGGCGGAGATTACGAAAAGGCATCGGCGAGTAGTGCAGTCCTTTCTCCTTCTTACTGATCCGTTCAGACGGACAGCACACATTCGGCTATCTACCGGGATCCAGTCAAGCAATGTCTTTTCTGCCCTAGTACTCAGAGCTATCACTACACCAGCTAATACTCGTGAACTAGCTGTGGTATCTCCTGACAACCTCACGAAGAATTTTGCAGATTCATCCTGTTGGCCAGGTGGGGTTAGGTGAATAACCACACTTGGGTCTTGTATGCGTGTTTCTGAAACACAACATACATCAATGGCTCGGGATGCCAGAGTCTTGGCTAGTGATGCTTGTTGTCCTATTTGGCACAGTGTCCTAACACTAAATGCTCCGATATGCAATTGGTGGCGTGGCTTTAGGAGGCTGTCGGTGGTGGTTTTTTGGCTTTCGTCGTTTTTAGTGGACACAGAGTGGATAGGAAGTGAAGAGCTATCAAGCAGAGGAGTTGCATCAGTGGAAGGAAGGCAAGATAGTAGAGGTGAAGATGAAGACAAAGATGAGTGAGGATTAGAGAGGTTTCGTGTGCATTTCGGATTGTCAGGGCGATTGTTACTTCCCGGCTGCCCACACCGTGGGAGTTGGTTGCGTGACCGCAGAGCCCAGGGGACAACTGCTTGAGGCCGGTCACACGCGGCCTGTTTTTGTTTCTTCTTTATTGTTTGGTGTGTCTCAGTAGCATATTTATCACTCCTGCCCTGTAACACGGCAGCAGGAAGCGCGGTCGTTGTTAATCCGAGCCACGGACGATTCAGCATGAAATTTTGTTTGTATCATAATGGTGGGTTGGGTAGCTGCTTTTTGTTTTAACCGCTATCCAAATAACCTGGCTGGCATGGTAGGACCTCAAGAGACATAAGTCTCAGCCAGTATAGCTTGATTAGGTCATTGTGGTGTTCAAGCCCGACCACCACGTCAAGGTAGCAGCTTTCGGTCGGTGAGGAGCTAATGAGCTTTAATTGGCCTTGCTGAATGATTTTCTTTTTTATGCGTAACTCTGGTTTTTCCAACTAATTGGCTTAGGCTCCAGCAATACAAAGTAGACCAAAGCGTATTGCCTTTGGTAGGTTATTCGTGACTCTGTAGATTTCTTTGCGGGAGGCGTTTGTTGAGATGAAATAATAAGTGTGAACAAGGTGTTCGATGATCGCACTCCTCATAGAGCCACTACTGCCTTTTCGCAAGCATGTGGGATGGTGTTCTTGAATCCTTTTGGACAGGATACGCGTCGAAAGCCCAATGTACCTAGCTGCACAGAAACGGGTGAACTGATATATGCACATATGAGTGGTCAGATGCGAGATCTTGTCCTTAAGGCTTCTTCAGGCTAACAGATGACTGAAGAACACTACTCTCAACGATGTTGCAAAGAATGTTCTTCTCAAAGATGCTGAAATTCTTCTCATAAGGATATCACAAGATGAGTCTCCCTTGAGATCGAGGCTCATATAAAGTTCCTTTTTTCGAACAAGTAATGTTGAGTTCCTCTGGACTTTTGGTCTGATATTCTTGTCAATGAATCTTGGTGGGTTTACATTTTGGATGAAGGTTTCTTTCAGAAGATCCAGTTCTGCTTCTAGGGTGTCAGGACTGCAGATGCATCGGATTCGAGTGGCAAGGGATTTAATTAGATTTCGTTTTCGTTCAACAGGCACCCAACTGTAGAAACTTGTTAGTTGACCGTTCCAATTAGGTTTACTATGGACTGACCTTCTTAAAATTCCGTCATCATAGCAACAACCGCGTTGATTTCTACTGACTTGATGTTTGTGTGCCTGAAGTTCTAACTCCTTATAACTCTTGTATTTCTTCACAACTCTAACATAACTCCATATTTTCCCTCGTTCCTATGTACATCCTAATCAAAACTTGCTCATTAAATTGTTCATCTTGTTACGCAGCTACAATACACTTATTTAACTTCCCTTATGCACTGACTAACATTGACAACTATTTTTGACAACCCATCACCACTGTCTTCTCATATTGATCTTCATCCTCATCTCCGCATTCTTTTTAAATATTTTGGTGACATAAACAACAACCCTAACTAATTTGTATTCTTGTTCGACAAAGCTGATGTACACACACACGGACAAACACATACACGTACAAAAGTAATTATATATAATTGCGATGACAGCTAAGTGAATGAATTCGCCAAAAAGAGACTCTTTACTGAACTACGGTGTTTTATTTTTCACTAATATCTGGAAGAGGGATTATTCATGAATTATTAGTTTTTAACGCAGTTTTTCTTTTAAAAATTACTATTTATTAATAGGATTATTGATAGATTAAACTCAAAGATAACTAGAAGCGGTACTCGTTTCCGTTTAGTCATCTATGTCTTATGCAACAAGCTTCAAGTCACACTATAAATTTATCTCTCTGGTAGATCCTACTACTTAAACAATTTCTCGAATATGAGACAAACATATGACAGAATATACGTGTTTAGTGAATAATACTTTACAACGCTGAAATCAGATAGAAATGCATTCATTCGGTGAAAAATATACCCACAGGATTGTACTGATAGATATTATTAAAGTTAGAGATATGATAAACGGTAAAAGAATTTCTAAAACAAAAATAATCAAAAGGATTTTATTCCCCACGTGTGTAAAGTAAAAATTTGCTTACTCTTGTTGAATTTCAGAATTTGAACTCGATGCAGATAAATACAAACGATGCGATCGATCCTCTATCTTTGAATAATGCAATCCAGCCAATAAGGCTATAACCTAGAAAGCATGATTTATTAAAGTACGTGGAATTATGTTATTTCCTGAATTGTATTAGTGACTTTCATAGAGAATTTGTAAACTTGTTGATATTAAACGGTTGGAGGTAATCTGCAGTAAGCCTTTGACCTAGGTTTCGTGTTAGCTGGCACTTACCAGTCAGTAAAGCGTATCTTCAATCTTGGAAGAACTCATATCCCCCTGAGATTAGAACCCACTTCACCCAGTGCTGCAGTCAGAGACGGTAACACTGAGCTATTCGGGCTCGCGATTGTCCCCTGTAGGACTGTACTGGATACTTTGATCTAACACTAGCTAGTAACTAGTGTCCAGTCAGAGTTTATAGACTGATGAAGAAATAAGGTACTGCAGCCACATATAGTAATAAAGGCCGAATGACAGATGGATCAATGTAGGGATTTACACAGAATTGAATTCAATCAAATTACGACGCTTCAAAAAGTTGCACGATGTAGAGAAACAAAGAACGAAGACTGGCAAAACACTTTAGGATCTGCAAATTTTTTAAGATCTAGACCATTGTAAACAATTTTCGACCATAATACGAAGAGTCTTCAGCTAGTGATCCCTAGCATCTTGACGATCCCTGATGGTACAAAACAACAGTTAAAGAATTTATGGGTTGACACTGTCTTTTGGTGTGATCACTCCAAAATCACTTTTCTAACTTAATCCTACTCAATCCCACACTGCCTGTTGCGAGAGAAGTAGTGGTCCAGTATGCTTAGTGTGAGAGGCTGAAAGTCAGTCATCAGAATGCCTTGATTGTTGGCTGGGTTACAGGTAAACTTATTCCTCTTGCAATATTTAAATCTGCCTTTCCTCAGGCATTTTATTCCCAAGTTGCCTACAAATGTTCTAACTACTAGATAAGATGTAATTGCTAATTAATGAGCAAAAATATAACTTGCAAAACCAGCCTATAAAGTTTGCATCCATATTAATTAACAGCTATTGTGAAATATCAACACTAACTTGATTTATTTCCAAACAGCACAATACGAGTTGAAGGAGAAACTTAAGACAGAAATTATACCGGAAAATTACATGAAGTGAAATCCCATCCCTACCAAATTCGCAATTTTCACAGTTCGAAGAGGTAAAATTTCACCACTATTTCCTTTGGAAACCGAAATTCGCTAGTTTGAACTGATTCGGCTCTTAGAGTTGAGTAGAACTGGCTACGCTATTGATAAGCTCGGCCTCAAACGAGGTAGACAGCTGTCAGGCGTTTAGATCACTTCGATTTGGCTAGTGGTTGACATGACTGGTGTATAACTACTCATCTCGATCATTCATTAGTACATATTAATCATAATAATATTTTGTAGAAGCAGTTTATTCTATGAGAAGTGATATCTTTGGTTAATTACTCATTTTAGTTTGTTTCGAATAAAACAGCCCGTATACTCTATAAAGAAAGATATATCACATAACTGCACCTTAATTGTCTAGGTAGTCTATTCTCATGGTTATGTGCTTTGAAACAGTTTGCAATGGAATTCAGAATGTCTGTTATAGGTTCGAAGTAGGATTGATAAACACCGATAATTAGCCTATATCAAGTTATACAACTAAGACTTCACCAGAGGCAATATCAAAGCATTTCTACAGGGAAGCAATATACTAACCAACAGCTTAATTGATCCTATCGAATACACTAACAATGAAAAAGATCAAAAATCTTATCAATACACAGTCGTAGGTTAGGACTCATTTTCCCTACCATTTAGAAATTGATGCAGTAGCATTCGTGAATTCCTACACACCGAATGCTCTTCATAGTTCTGTGAATCATTATATAAGTAATGGTGTTAATAATAATAATAATAATAATAATAATAATAATAATTTAAACTAGATGTATTATGCTTTCGCGAATATTGGCAATTTCTCACCAAGAGATAGATGTGTTTTTTGATAATAGTAAATAGTATCAATACGTATTATTTAGGAACGAAAACAGTAAAGTATAAGTTGAATAACACTAACCTGTATAGTTTTTCCTAAACCCATTTCATCACCAACAATTCCACCACATCCCTTTTGATGAAGATTCCACAGCCAGCTGACACCTCTTTTTTGATAATCAAATAATCGACTCCAAATAGAGCCAGGAACGCAAAAGCCACCATCTAGTTTCCCATCTTCAGGATCAATTGATTGGGTCTGCAATATAAGTTATTTAACAGTAGATAAACAAATTTGAGCTAATTTAAAATTGTATGTTATAAAATATTGTGATGAATACACTGAAAGAAAAGAACTTTAGCGCAACTAACTCCGTTAAATACACATGTGATTTCATCCGATGAAGGAAGATTAATCCTACACCATCACATCGCAAGAGTTTAGAAACCTGGTTAAAGTAGAATAGTTTTTCAGTGTGCATCTAAATCCACTCGTTATTAGAATTGATGAGTAATTTGACTTCAGTTATACTCAGATTTAGAAGTTATCAGATTGTTTCATCATCTGACATTGAAACAATGTCTTTTTTCAAGTTTATATCCCTGTTAAACATAGAAAAGTCTTCAGTTTCTTAGTGGTACCATGATGATAGGTTTGATGTACCACCATGAATGTATGAATAAAATTTACCCTCACACTTTTGTGCAGTATCATCACACTTGTGAGGAAAGCATGCTTTAAGAAGGAGTGGAATAGATACCTTAAACTAATTTGATAAAGAAATATAAGAAAGCAGTGTAAGAAGCTGAACACATACTGGACAAATACAAAAGCATTGGAAATGACTAATAGGACACCTATTGATTGTTGTTGTAGGAACTACAAAACATAATGACTGAATAAAAGGCACAAATTAACAAATAACTTTTGTATGTTTCGTCAGTGAAGATGTTGATGTATTTGCCTACTAATAAACGTTTATACAAAAATATAAGGGAGATTAAGGAAAGAGATATTGACTTTGAGGGGAAGATTTATTTTGTTAAGATAAATTATATTTCTTGATTAATATTATCTCTAACTAACTAACCAGGAGTAACAATCTCAGTACAAAGTATAACACTAGTAATAGGAAGGACAAAAGTAATAATAACGATTACAACGACCATCATGATTATGATCACCTCAAGAACAATAATGTAACTAAGCACATACGCACCTGTATGTACCACCACTTAATGAGCTACACTTATTGCATGAAGGTTAGTGACATGACAAGTTGGTCTAAACTCTGAGGAAAGGGAGGGGTTTTAATTGTGTGTGCCTTCTTCAGTTTGTTCATACTGAAGAAATACACCAAAGTCATATAACACATTAAATGGATAAATGTGAGCTAATATATTTGAAATTAAGGAAAGCTGAAGAAATATTTCGTTTTAGTTCAAAACACTCCTTAATTGACTAATGATAGCTTCAGATTGGATTGAATCAAAACTGTCATCCATCACGGCAGTCGTGTTATTTGTTTGGAATATGACAATTTGCCTCTCAACTTTTTTCCTAATTCAACATATAACATGGATATAAGTAATCACCTTTACTGTTAAACCAACCGATTCAGCAGGAAACAACTTTCATTTTAATTTCGAAACAATCACTTCTAGGCTAGTCACCGATGAGCCTGATTTTAATTCATAGTAAGCCCTAACATGGAATTAACCAGTGCTTCGTAAATTAATTTGTTAAATACTCGAATTAGTAGAAAATAAACCACCAGATAACTGAGATAAAAGCTATGATTATCAATGACCGATTTATCTGACTACTGTAATATCGTAAGCCTCACAACAAAAATAATACTAAAACTCTACATATATACATAAGTGAACTTGTAATACTACTACTGTTACAGAGACTCTTATTATTCGACTTATTATTTCTTAAGAGTATTTCGGTATTGACGCGTTACAAATTAGGCTATTACTGTGTACACCAGAACATAAGCAAATATTTGAATCAGTAACCCTTACACGAAGAAATAACAAAACTACAAACATATAGATAGAAAATGATTTACCTCATGCTCTTTCGCTAACTGTTTTTCTAACAAGTCTATGCGCCTTTGACGCCTTAGTCTTTCCTGAAAAGCCTTGATATCCGCATCATCATTATGCTTAACTTTAGCTAATTTATTCAATTCTTTAACATTATTTTTACGGTTCTTTTCGTTAGGCGGATTTATAATTGACTGCCTTCTAGGTGGTTTTATATCCATTATCAGAAGTGACTTCGTACTACCAGTAGCTTGTAATGCTTCACTTCTTACGGTTTCTAAAATTTAAAAAACAAAAATTAAATTTTGTGTGTTTGAAATACATCAATGAGTACGGTAATTGTGAATACAAAACATGTGAGATAGGCATCCCTAAAATAAATGGTTGGTAGGATACATTGCACCTTAAGATTTCATCATGAACTGATACCGGTTAGAGAACCACTGGAAAACCTGGGAGTACTGGACAGTTGTTTCGTCTAAACCTGGGACTCCTCAGTGGCGCGCGCCCACCGGGGTTCAAACTCAGGATGTTCTGGTTACAAGGCGAGCTCGTAGACCATTAAGCAACTGGGACCTGATCCAATGGCCCATGAATTCAAACTTTTAACAATTCATGACATTGCGCGACCACTAGCCAATGTCTTCAGCGAGGATTTGTCCTCATGCGCGACCTGCTGCACTCTAATGGTCACAACACCCCGCTGGAACCCTACCGCAATAGGTCCAGTCGCTAGTGACCATCTCATTGATACTCGAATATTGGTTCTCTAACCGGTGTCAGTTCATGATGAAATCCTGAAATCAATCGAATCCCGCAAACCGACATTAGACCTTAGTATCATGCTTGCTGGTGCTTGTCAGCAGGGCTTGTCAACGACTTTAAGAAACTCTAAGAGAAGAATCCACATGACTGATTGTCTAAGTCAGTTTTCAGAGCCATAAGTTTCCAGTTACCCTAATATTTCTACTAATCTTGAATACGATTTTATTTGTTATTACTTTTGTTTTCATCGAGAAGTTTTTAATACGTGATTCTCCGTTTTTACATGGGTTGTCTAAAGTGGTAAAGTGTAGTCATCATCTGTTGCCGTTATATTTCAAACTATTTCCTTAGTGATTCTGATTAAATAAAAAGATTTAGGAAACATTGGAGGAATAGGTCGTATAGAAGGTACTCAAGTCATCGATATGAATTTTTATGAAAACTATGCTTAATAGATATAAGAATAGAACTTGAGTGCTGTGGTAGAGTATAGTTCTATTAAAGAGAAAATTTATTTTTATCAAGTCATATGATTATGAGCAATAAATTGTGCTCGAAACGTCATCAGTAAATATTAATGTATAAGACTGTGAGACTTTATCAAAACTACGCTTAATAGACAACATTCGCCATCAAGATGTACACAAAACCCTGGTCCTAGAATTTCCTGTACAGTATAAGACGCATTCAGTGCTATAAAGGCACTTGTGACTGAACAAAGAATTTTGCTGAATATCTTTAAGCCATTTAAGAAAACTGACCCTACCCATACATTGTACTTCTGTACTTTTAGTCGACCAAAACATCTTTTTAATCTGACTTAAGGTGAGGACATACAGTCCCTGTCTGTCTGTCTGGATTCAACATAGAACTTGGCACCGAAGTGCAGCAGTTCGAGTTGCCACGTTCCAACTCGAACATACAGTCCCAATGAAAAGCAACGAGTGGGTCGTCCGAGGATGGCATGGAGGAGATCGTGTGAGGAGCTAAGAGATTACAGGCAATCGTGGAGCCAGCTGAAGAGGTCAGCACGAAATAGAATAGAGTGGAGATTTGTTGTTTAGGCCTTATGTTCCACTCAGAACCCAAGGGAATAATAATAAAATGCAGCCCTTCATTATTACTCCTAAACAAGATGTCAGCCTCTAGTTTACAACTATCAGTATTAAAAGTTTCATCAAAGCTTCCAATATAAAACTTCCAATTTTATCTCTATGGTGAAATAATTTGTCCTTCCGACCTGTAAAACTTCATCCTTGTTTTCACACCAGTTGTCTGTCGATGCAAGTAACGAATGTTCTAAATCGATTCATTTTGAAGCAAACCAACTACTCCTCGTCTAGCAATCACTCATCTTGTATATTTGTACATAAATGCGATACAAGAAAAGCATTGTCCTAAAACATCTGATTACAATTACAAACATCTTAGTCGCACTTCACATTATCAGACCTTTAATTGGTAATTAGTGACTAGCAGTGGAAGCCGACATGTCAACCTGAGACCAAGCACTTCGATTCAATCAATCGAAGGGAAAATCTCAAATTCAATAACACTATCAGACCTTTGTTTAAATTGTTTCATGAAACATATTTTTAAAAAACCGTATGGATTCGATTGTACAGTTTGATTATAAATTGGCTGAAAAATCTCTTTGCCGTATAATGTGTTCTTAATATTGCAGAGTTATTAAAACAATAAAAATCCAGCGAGGTAACGAGAGTCCCCCATATCGCAGTTACCTTACTCACCATAACAGACCCAAAAACTGAGGTCCATCCTGTCGACCGACTCTTAACATTCAAACTGATGAAAATTTACGGCAGTACTGTACTTCTTAATTGAATGAGCACACTACATTTATAACTTTGGATTAGACTTAGCACTACACAGTTACTGTTTATTATCCAGATGCTTAAAGCTGGAAAAGCAGCAGGACCAAATGGAATCCCAGCAAAAGCATTGAAAATGGACCCAGAGACAACAGCGGACTTGATGACACCACTACTGGAGAAAGTGTGGAAAGAGGGCAAGGTACTCGATGATAGGAAGAAAGGATACTTATTCAAACTGCCAAAGAAAGGAAACTTAAGTGAATGCAAGAACTGGCACGGCATTATGCTCCTGTCCATCCCAAGCAAAATGTTAAGCCGCATTATCCTGGAGAGAATCAAACAAGCCTTGGATGAAAAACTTCGACCGGAACAGGCTGGATTCAAGAGAAACAAGTCATGGCACAGTGGTTAGGACCCCCGCCAACCATGCATATGGTCCGGGGTTTGAGCCCTCACCGACGCACACCTGATATCTATGGTCGGCCTGCGAAATTTGGGCTACCGATATCCACGCTGAAAATTCCATACTTGTACCACAAATACGATGTGGAATCAAGCTGTAATCAAAAATTTAAAAAAAAATCGCCACACTACAGATCATCATCGAAAAAAGCTTGGAATGGCTGTCACCTCTCTATCTCAACTTCATCGGCTTTGAAAAGGCCTTCGACAGAGTCAATCGAGAGGTGATTTGGCAACTACTTCGCTACTACGGGGTCCCATCGACAATTATACATCTCATCCAACAGTTATATGAGAATGCTGCATTCCAAGTAATCCACATCGGGAAATTTTTTTTATTTTTGACTACAGCTTGATTCCACACTGTATTTTTGGTACAAGTATGGAATTTTCAGCGTGGATATCGGTAGCCCAAATTTTGCAGGCCGACCATAGATATCAGGTGTGCGTCGGCGAGGGCTCGAACCCCGAACCATGTGCATGGTCGGCGAGAGTCCTAACCACTGTGCCACCGACGCAGAAGCCTTCGAAGTGAGGACAAGAAGAAGACAAGCTGGCTGCCTACTATCGCCAATGATCTTCCTGATTGCAGTAGATTGGATAATGCGACAGACAACGGCCAATGAGGAAACAGGCATAAAATGGAGTCACACAAAAAACTTGGAGGATCTGGACTTCGCCGATGATATATGTCTGATTTCCCACAAACTGGAAGATATGCAAGTGGAAAGCAACAAGCCGGCAGAAGCATCAAAGATAGGACTGCAGGTGAACATAGAGAAAACAGAGGTGATGAAGATTCCCGGGCAACATCAACAGACAACAATAAGCATAAATGGGAGGAACCTGAAAGAAACAACCTCTTTCACTTACCTGGGAAGCATCGTTTCAACTACAGGCGGGCGGAACTGAAAAGGATATCAAAGTAAGAATCGGGAAAGCAAGACAAGCTTTCGTAACTCTCAAGTCTGTGTGGAGGTCAACAGCACTTAGCATCAAAAATAAGATCCAGATTTTCAATTCCAGTGCGAAGTCAGTGCTACTCACTATACGGATCAGAGACTTGGCGCGTCATAAAGAGCATCTCAAAGAAACCACAGACCTTCATTAACAGTTGTCTTCGCTCAAAACTCAAGATCAGATGGCCGGCCAGAAAAGATCAGCAACAGGGATCTCTGGCAGCGAACCAACTGTGCAACAAATAAGCAGGAAGAAATTGAGATGGATTGGCCATACTCTGAGGAAACCATCAAGTGACATCACTAGACAAGCCATTGTTCGAGTGAAACCCGAGGGGGAAGCAGCGAGTTGGCCGTCCGAGGGTGACTTGGAAGAGGTCATGTGAAGAGGAGATGAAAGCGTGTGGGCAGACCTGGAGGGGGGTTAAAACGTTGGCAGAAAACCGAACGCAATGGAGACGCGCGGCTGTAGCCCTATGTTCCCCTGGGAATTAAGGGGAAATAATAATAATATCCAGGGACAAAAGCGTATAAAAAATTATGTACACACAAAATGCACACTTATCTTTATTCATGTTAACACTTCTACAGTAAAATGAATAAACTGATGAATTTCACAGCAAAAGAAATTAATGTAAATATATACCTGGTGTACTGTTATTTGGAAAGGTTTTTTCAAGGGTGGACAGTTTGGTAATTAAGGCAGTTTTGCGAGAGGACAGAGTGTCAATATGCTTCATCTACAAAAGAAAATCGATGACATGCATTTTTGAAAGCAATTAATCTTGCCTTTGTTTCTATCTCCAGTTCTAATGAACGTATTTTTCTATTTTCCAAACGGTTAGTAGACCCTCCGTTTGGTATTTCACTGAGTAAATTATCAAGTAGTTGTTCCATTTTTCCAAGTTCGTTTTGAGCAGACCTATAGAATGAATAACGTAAAGTTCCAGCATACATTATATCATCACCCAAGGCAGAAAGTCGTTCCTTAACTGCCTTTATCTGAACAGTTCTGTGTTTCATCAAAGCATCATTAGCCTGTTCAATAACGCCTTCAACGTAAATTTTGACAAAAACAGAACAGTACCTGCTTCAAATACATTGTGGTCATATACAGTGACGCGTTGGATACAGTCTATCTCCTGGTTGTCAGATTTTTCAATTAAACCTTTGTTAACTGAAAATCTCATTAGATTGTCCACACTTTTTTGGGATGTACTGGATGACGAAGTGAGGTATGAATCTGAAGTGTTCATCGTTATGAACTTGGTCAGAAAATAAGGAAGAAACAGTGTGATTAGGAGGCTTAACTAAAGCAGAGTAAAATAAATAAGTCTTGGTCTTCGACAGCCATGAACCATTTTTAAGATAATCACATGTTCTTGGTGCAATAGAATGATTGTTAAAATGACCAGAGAAAGGATCCCTCATTCCCAGTTATTTTTATCTTCCCGAACGTAAGATATCGCGCGTTATATAACACTTCTCTGTTCTAGGAGTAACTTCCTCTAGTGTAGACTTTCATAATAGAGTGAGTATACCCAAATACCTTATTTTAGAAAATATGCCCATTAAATGCATTCGAAGCTCTCAAATTGTACAAAGTCACAATCCTAAATTCCAAACTTAAATCAAAATGCGAAACCCCAATTTATTAGTAAATCAGGACTTAGGTCGAATAATTATTTGACCAAGATCCGGGGGTATTCCACTGAACACGTTTCAAACAGAAATGTTTTGTTGACTTATGAACAGTATTGCACTGTCTTAGATAACAGTCCGTAAAAAAAGTGTGAACATCAGGTATTTCAAGCTAGAAGGAAAATCGTAACCAAGGCTCAATGGGCAATGTCTACAGTTAGTTTCCATTTGCTTTTACCAGATTTAGGCTAGCTGTACTTCAACTGGTCTACTTCCATTAGATTTACCGAATTCGGTTATTGGTTGAATTTTTTTGTCTGGTTACTAAATTCATATTTGAAAGATATGTGCCACCCAAGCTTACAACAATTCTAAGCTTATTCTAAACTATTCTTCGAAAATGCCTTTTTAAGGTAAGTGAAGACTTTATCAACCCACTGGGTTTTGAAATAACGCTGGTCATGCGTAAGAGAGCTGAATTAAGTCTTTTCGTTTTGAAGTAACGCTAGTCCGTGCTTAATATGTCCTGTGAGGGCTGGAACAACGCTGATAAGCAAACCCAGTGGGTTTTGATCTACTCTTGAAAATGCTTGGATAGAGAAGATCGTGGTGAACTAGTGCCAGTAATGCTGGAAACCAGCACTGAGTTCTAGTCTTTGCGATTAAAGAATCCATCTCAGAACAGGTTCAGAATTTACTCACTATGGAATGTTAGAATTATTTCAGAATTAGTAAGCTCGGGCGTATGCACCGTGGTGTTCCAATTGGGACTGTAATCACCCATGGAGTTATACGAAGTAATGCAAACCTCTATTAACTCATTTTCGGGAAATACCCTGGGACAGGACTTATGCATTTCGTTTATTTTTTGTTTATGGATGCTATATAGCAGTGAATATGCCATGAAACAGCTTGGTATATGATTATCTGGTTGAATCTACGTACACAAACAGGGTTTGACTATCACTCAGGATTTCAATGACGATATAATAGGGCAAAGTTCAACAATAGAGTCCCAAGGGATGCGAACGCACAATAATAGATCTTCTTGGGGAACATACGGAAATGTCATCCCGCACAATAATCTTAACACTGCCGTCTGGCAATGGATAAAGGCACACACGACCTTACGGAGAGGCTGAGCACTTCAAGGTCGCATATGCATACTGTTATTGGTAGATTTTACTTTTCATAAACGCTGCGGCTAATACGTAGCTCACGTTACTGAGGCGGGCTTTGAAATAATAGTAATAAAAGTCGCATAGACATTACATTTTTTCAGCTTAAGGAGACAAGTTAACGCATGTATAGATTCTATAGATGTGATATGCATGTGGACCCAGGTGAGTCTAAAGAATAGCGGCCCAAACCGAAACGACCTTTTAACGCAAAAATGACCTTGACAGGGACAACTTCGGCCAATGAGAAGGCTCAAAAAGAAAGGCGCATAATTGTAAAAAACGGTTTATATATAAGTAATGCAATCATAATAAACAGTTACAAAGGATGGCGCTCGCGTATATGTCTCAAAAAAACCTCCCAGTTTCTCATGGGAGTCTTCATAGTCGTATGAAACCAGTTTCGGTACATAAATTCATCCAGGTAACTGTAAATCATGGGATTTCTCGATCCATTAACCGCTCTTATACGTCTTTTTAGACGACTCCTAAAACTTTCAATGGAACTGGTGTGGGTTCCATCTAAAGGATTCCGGAAACCGTCCGTATGATTAACAACATGATGAATGTACCCATGATTCGATAATTGACGGTATCCGCTCCATTCATCTGTATGAATAGTCGTCCCCGGCAACACCGAACGCTTAATAATAGGCACTAATACTGCTGCACTGCGACTGGGAATCGCTTCTATATACCCTTTGCGCAGTGTCATGTCGTAGATACCCAGTATCCACTACTGGTTTGCTTGTAATCTCCCACGGTTGTATTTCCTTTTTATAAGTACAGTCTCATCGATATGGACTATGCTGCCGACTCCTCCGAGAACTTGAGTCAGGGTGTTCATTTTCCAGGAGGAAACATCTCTGCAGTAGTTGTACCAGTGCAATGGTACCATTGCACTGCTGACACCTCTGAATTTTCTGTTTCATAAGCTGTAGCTGTGACTGCTCTTTTCAGGACCCAGAAGTTACAGATCATTAAAATTTTCGTCATAGGTAGTTTAGACCTTGAGAGAAAAGTTCCTAAGGGATCTGTAAACTAAAGAACAACGACAAACCTTCTCGAACCGATTTCTTCCTTTGGCACTCAATACATCTGTATACAAAGCCATCAATGGCTTCTGTTTATTTTTCTATGTGCATAACTCCTCCGCATTGGCAAATTTTCGACAAAGCTATCAGTCCGTTATCCAAAAAGTAATCGAAAACATCCATGATTACATCCGAAAATGATACAGTCAGCTGATTCCTTCCTCAATATCCAATATCCAATATCGTTTTTACGAGCTAGTATAAACCAATTTGATTTCTTTGTGCTCGCCTCTTGATTGTGAGGTATAGGTTCTTGATCTTCGGTAAACTTCTGCGTAGCTTGTCCCGCCACTCGACTGTCGTAGCTTTGGTTGACTCCAAAGGGAGTAGTGCTGGGATTAATTATATGTGGTTTGTAGTATGAGGTATGTTAAGACTGTTACTACTGTGATTGGAGTTGATCCTTTCGCCAGTTAGTCCTTCGGTATTGTCGACAAGAGAAAAGAGATAGTAATAATAATAATAATAATAGTAGTAATAATAATAGATATAATTAGTGAAGCTATTCAGACTAAGAGACAGAAACGAAAATAGGAAACGTAACAACAGTCAGCTCATGAAGTTTGAAGAATAATATATCGGTAATAGTAATAATAATAATAGTAATTATAATATTAATAAGTTGTCAGGAGAGTAAGACGGGAGAGAATGTAAAGAAGTAAAATGACGAGTTTAATTATCTACCCTGATTGGTAAATGCGATTTTAAGGAGATAGGCCATTTGGATGCAGTCCTTGTATAGCTGCATGGTTGTCCAGCCTTCGCTTAAAGGCGTCCAAAGACGGTGCCATAGCTACATCTGCCGGTAAGGAATTCCAGGGACGACAAACCCGCAGTGAAAAGAAGTGGGAGCGCACCCGGGTCCTTGCCCTCTGGTGAGCTATCCTTCTGGGATTTCCACGTGGAAGCCTATACCTACTCAATGGCAGAACACCTTTGTTTGGGTGATTCTGGTCATTTGTTATTTTGTAGGCAGTAATCAAATCCCCCCTAAGCCGACGGTAACTAAGTGTGAACAGGCCTAATTTCTTCAGCCTTTCATCATATGGTTTGTTTCGGAGACCAACCACTCCTTTTGTTGCCCGTCGTTGGACTCTCTCCAAGAGGTTGGCATCTCTTCTCAGCATTGGGGGTGCAATAATATTATGCACCTCAAGGTGTGGCCTGACGTATGTTTTGTACAACATTAGAAAGAGCTCAGGAGTGAGTGCACCTAACTGTCTATGCGTAAAGTGTATGACCGCATATGCCCTCGCTACATCCCCTGTGTAATTTACGCTTGTGTCCATTTTTTCCGTTAGAACTAGACCTAAGTCGCGTTCCGACGTTGTGCAGGACAAGCTTTCATTGCACAGGGTGTAACTTGCATTCTGCAGTCTACAGGTGCGCAACTTCACTACTTTGCACTTTTTCAAGTTGAAAGTCATGCCACTGGCCACCGCCCAGTCTTCCAGAAGGTTTAGGTCTTCCTGTAGCCTATCTGAGTCCTTCGGACACTTTATCGCCCTCCATATTTTTACGTCGTCAGCGTACAGAAGAGTCGGGCAGCTCAGACGGCGTGGTAGATCATTGATGAAAATCAAAAGCATCAGTGGTCCTAGGATAGAACCCTGCGACACTCCTGATGACGATCTGTGCCAAGATGATCGGACTCGGTTAAAGGTCACTTTTTTGTTCGAAGGTCGTTTCGGTTTGGGCCGCTATTCTTTAGAGTCACCTGGACCCACTAAAAAAAGAATATTATTGGGTAACTTAATCAAAGAAGCATCAAGATTGAAGACTTAGTCTTTTTCAGCTGATTGTAGCGGACAGAGAGGAGAGGCATTTGTGTAATATTTGCATTTTGCAGGAGACAAACTGTGAAATATAAATCGGAAGTTCTAGGATTCTTCAAGCTTATTGTGGGATATATGGACTATTCTTACCGATTCTACTATTTTTCCCTCCCTTGTTCACATATTCATTGTTGCTACGATTAGGAATTGTTTACCTGAGGTAAGATCAATTCACCTGATATGTATATATCCTTAGATATTTCTCTGTGTGGCTGGAGGTGGTCAAAGGAATGCAATCTCAATCTTTGCATGGAAAGATCATAACCAGTTTCTTCTGAAAGATTAGGTGGTGCTGAAAGCTGTAAAGACGGGTCCAGTGTCACAATCATCTAAGGGAAACTGATGCACATATTGTGGATAAAACGATTAGCGTACTCTAATTTGACTATGATGTAGCCATAAAAATCTACAACTGTGATTTTTTTCCACCCTTTTTAATGTGAATATGTACTGTTTAACTGTTGTTATTTTGTAAATATATGCAGTTATGTTGACTACATGTATCTCT